AATGTTTAACTAAAGCGAGCTCCTTCGCTACACGTTTACATCTCAATATCAACACGAAAACAGCTCTAAACATATATTTGTATTCGCTCGCCCGAACGCAGGCGTTTCATAATATAACATGCATTTAACGACCGCCGTGATTTTGAAATCTAACGTTTACGTAAATGGAGAAACATTAACTTCTCTCTCTTGTTAAATGTAAGAACATTTCCTTTATTACCGTTCACTGACCCGTTGTTTTTTCTCGCGCCCCGGCACGTTAGTAAAACAGGCAATTTACGCGAGCCTATAAGTAACAAGATTCATTAAGGCCGTTACAAAGTGGCGCGGGCGTTCTTAAAGCGAATGGCCCTCGAGCTTACAGCTTTCATAATGGCCGTACGAGCCGGCCGAGGTGCCGCGCAATTTAATGAAACACCTGGAGGAGGTTGTGCCCGCTTCCGTTGCATTAATCTCCTACCCCGCGGCTCTCCGCGACGCTTTATTGCCGCCGACTAATGCACGAATTTATTCGGATTTCTTGAATCGCCGTGACAATTGCGCTGCTAGACTCTGATGGAAAAAAACGTTACTTTGCGCCACGCAAATAAAACGAACCCTTATGTGAATTTTAACTGTAATTAAACTTTACGCGGGCATTTCGGAAGTGTTAATTTTTGCCGTGTCCCCAAACACTAGCGTTTAAAAGTGGGCAACTAATATTAAAGTCGGTATAAACAACGTCTGACCGCCCGCCGGAGGCAACGGGAAAAGTGGCCGAGATAACTCCGCGCGCGAATGCATATTTTAACGTTAAGCTACGGCGCGGCGCCACGATGCAAACTTGTTGGGAACTTTTACGGAGTGCATAATTCTTAATTTTAAACTCTCTTGTGTTCCTCTAGTTGGTAATATAAATATCGCACTTTTTTCTCCGAGACGTGGGCGTATTCCGTCTCACGTGCACGTGACGGCGGCACGACGAGCTCGTCGCGTGGCGCCGCCCAGAGATGGAAATAAAAAGTGGCGCGGGCGCGAGGCGTAAACGCTCGCCCCTCTCGCGTGACGGCTCATTAGCCACTCCCTGCTCCTCGATAAATCATTTTAAATTCAAATTCTACTTACTTCTGAATTGACTTTGCTTACCTAATTCCTTTCTCAGCCGCGAAATTTCCTAAATTAGATTTTACCTTTCTCCCTTTCCGGTTGTCAGAAAGATTATTGTTTGTGGCATGCCACCCGGAATTTTGTAACTTTCCGGCCTTTTTTCTCATCGCCTCGCATCTTTAGCGATAGGTGACCCACTATTACTACCCGCCCGTTAATAAATATCGGACATTACTAAGTGCATAAATAAAATGTGGCGACGTTCCACGAATGCCTACGCACACAAACATTTCTCGTGCAGGACACCTCAACACAGGTTCGTGAGTTGGCACGTCTCACCGGCGGTTTCTATTTGCGTCCCCGTTTGACATCATGAGCATTTTTGGCAGCCACTTTCGTGCGTAAGTGGGCTTAGGATATAGCGTGTCATTCATGTGGACTGTAAGCTCATTGTTTTCCTCGTGCATCGATTTGCAGCGGCGCGTGTCACCTCGGCCAATGGCAACTCCGAGTACGGAGATGCGCGCGCGCGCATACCTCGCGACAGCGCGCCGCCAACTCGTCAATTGCGATCGATCAATCGATTAGTCCACGTCGGGGAGGTATTCTGGCTCCTATTTGGCTCCTCGACCTCTATAATTCACTGGTGTGCGCCGTCGGCCACACGTATTCGCACGAACACACCGACGCAACTAATGAATGGGCTCGGTTTAATTGTATTGGGAACGCATTGTTTATTTAAACAATGCCATAGATATAATTAAGGAGAAAGATACGGACGCTGCTGCCTTATTAAGTCTTCCGTCGTGTTAAAAAACTTTAAGCGACTTCTAATCTCAAAGTTAAGCCTGGAGGGGATCACGATGAGCCAGCCTTTTCTCAGTTGCGCTATAAACGGTCAAGTAGAAGAGCCGTAAACAAAAGCACTATGTTGAAGATGGCAGCGCGTGACTGTCAGCAGTGTACTGTGCAGTGTACTGTAACCACTCGACGGCACTCGAGGGCCGTTCGTTATACGCGTTACAGATTCAAAGAGCCCTCGGTCGCCTCGCTTGCCTCGCCGAGATAAGAACACGGCTCCGCTTTTCATTTGTGCGAGCGGTGCCTGAGGAATTTCGTAAATATTTCCCTCGCTCGCCGAAGCGGTATTTAAATTTTGGCGTTTTCTTTCATTTTGCTCCGGCGCTTTGTAATAAGCTCTCCATCAAATTGATTTTGTTAGGATCGCATTACAGTTGAAAGCTTTTCTTGCAACGACGAATTAGCATTATCAACATTTCGACGCGGCTATACTGATAATAATTCAAATAAATTTTTAATGCTACGCGAACAAAGGCACATTTGCGGAAGTGTTTTGACACATAAGTAAAGATCGCTATATTGCATGTGCTTATTGTTGTGGCATAACGGACACTGCAAGGGAAGCGGTCCGTTTGCTCTACTATCACAAAAATGTTATTAGTTTTGGGCGGTTATTGCCCACCCTGCGGTCGCTCAACCCTCCCCCTGCGCCCCAACTACCTTCCCAACATTCATAAGGTTGCCCCTTGTATCCAATTTAAACCTAAAAGTAAATTTGCCAGTTATTTTGATTACGTTAAAACACTTCCAAAGCGTGTGTGTTTGCCCACAAGATATCTCTATTAACAAAACGTAAACGTGTAATTGGACATAACTACTCGATATTACTTAATAGCTTCATACAAAACCTATGCAGCTGTTAACATGCCGCAATTATACTATGCCCAATATAGAATGACAAATGATACAGACGAAGGCCGTGAGGTATAGCATTTTTATTTACGTGAACGATACATTGTAAAAAGGGTAATTTTTAATAAAATAAGGTAAACAATATACGGTGATTAAATAACAACTTTTTCAATATTCGGCGTCCTACGGTAGCTGATTATATCCCCATCGACCAGGATATATTTATTCCATAATTTCTTATCTCAAAGAAATAAAAAGCGATAATTTAAACTATAAATAACTATTAAACACGACGACATTAACTTATCATTCAAAATTACACAGAGTACGATGTTAAAATGTGGAATCGCCAGCGCAATTTTTCCGAGCGCCATTAATCAAAATGCGCGAACACGTATTCCGATTACACGTCAATAGAGCAGCAATTAATGCATTGTAATATGTGCAATAGGGCGAGAGTCGACGTGGCCATCCGTCTGAGGCGACGTGGTCATTTATTACCCCGGCGTTATCTGTCTCGCTAATCGGTCGCCGTACCTGCACTGCCCGACACAGCATTAAACCGTCGAGCTATTTTAACTTAATACAGCCATATCCCGCTTAACCAAAATGGTTAGTTACTATGAAAAATATGCACTACTGCTTCTAGGATATGAGCACGTTGTTGTAATGTACATCTAATAACCAACGGGGCGTGGGTTTGATTCCCACCGCATCTAACATATTTTGGATCAACTCATAACATTTCTTCAATACGTTAGACTTCATCTAGAAATCTGGTTAATAAATGGGCGGTGGTGGTAATGTTAACAATTCCGTCCGAGTCACGAATCAACGTCCACAGACAAAAAAACGGGAAACTTAATCGCGTTTCGGTTTCAGCCCGTGGATTTGCCAATATCCATAGCCGAAATAGTTTGACAACACATCTTGTTTATTATAGGCTAGAGGTATTTCACCAGGTTTGTCTGGTTTACTCTATCATAAAGAAAAAAGGTGTTGCGTGGCTTTAAATGTTAACTTTATATCGTTACAAAATTTATATAGATGCAACGTGTTAAAAAAAACTGTTTATAAACATATATTTGCATATTACTATGGGTATCCTTAAAGCCGATTATCTAAATATGAACTTCCAATCCTAGAAGGAAAACTGTAATAGACACAATAAGCGTTAAATTTCAGTACAAGGGTACCCGAAATTATTACCTAAGTTTTGTAATTAGAAATCCGTCTATCGTAATAAATATTTCGATTCGGGTTGAACCGGACATAGTTAGAAACGGCTCGGACGTGACCACTAAAATAAACGGTTCGAGACAAATCAAAACTCGGTTAAAGTTGCAGTAACTAGAAATAATAACTTTATCTAGCGCTTAACACTGCCGCCCGACATAATGTCTGCCAGTAACAAGTTAATCTAAATGCAACTTCGACTGGCCAGATAGCTTACGCATAGATAAAGTTTGATAACATAAAATTTGTAACAATCCGATTCCCAGACTAATCACTTCAAACACTTCGCGTTAAGGATATTCGAAAATCCTACACAAACGATTCCTTTTTCGAGGAAGCAAATTGTTTATCTTCACGTTTTATTAAAACTTCGATGAAAGCGCTCTTTCTTTTTGACTGAATAAAATACGGAGATAAAGCGCGATATTTTGCGATAAAGCGAGCTTCTTGTCACGTAGTGCGACAGTTAATTACGCGAATGTAAATAAATCATCATAGTCGGCTTTTGCCGAGGGTTCCTTTTGAGAGGCAATTATCTCAAGCCTCATTGGAGCCGAAATTAAGAATGAGATGCATGTTGGGATCATTATTAAACTCTCATTAGCCATATTTAAGTCTTTCCTAATTAATATCTATGGTGTAATGTATTGTGTCTCTTTTAGCTTGTATGTGTATGACACTTAGTTTTGTGATAGGACTTATATTAACTACTTTAACGGTTTAAAACACGTCATAAATTAGGCGCTGCTACTACGCTACAGTTTTTATTCATAGACACCATTCATCTTTAGCCTCCCCGTGACCACGGCTACATTCGAAACGTCGGGTTGTAGTCAAAATAATTTGTAAATAAGTTTAACTAATATAATTCGCGTTTAAGCCGTTAAAGTGTTTTATTTGAATGTGTACTACTCGCGTAAACTACAGACTGTATGTATATTAACTAGTTAAAATGTGTATTCCAGGGCCGATGTAACCGCGAAAAACCTCCCTGCAAGTACTTCCACCCGCCGCAGCACCTCAAGGACCAGCTACTAATCAACGGGCGGAATCACTTAGCACTTAAAAACGCCTTAATGCAACAGATGGGTCTGACGCCTGGCCAGGTGCTGCCTGGCCAGGTCCCTACCGTGGTGAGTACCATTACCAGAACCATCCCACGAGACTAACGCTTGAGCGATCGGCCCTCGAACTGTAGATAGGGAATGCACGCAAAACGCTGCTTTCGATGTAACTTGCTACTTTATACTCCAAGCATTTCTTCTTTCTAATTACTCTCGGAACACGTAGACGAGCATCGTGCTAAGGTTGCGCCCCCATATTGAGTTTAGCTTAAGTACTTCTACACAATTATAGGCAATTTTACTGTGACACGATCGAAGCCTATATTGACTAGGAAGTTATTTCTACCATTTCGTAATGTCTCTTTTAGTAGTTGTACCCAAACGTTAGGCTTCTATAGAATTTTCACATCCAAATTTTCGTATTAGTCTACAGAGTTGGGCTTATAAGTGAATTAGAAAAGTAGCGACGTTTCGGGCGCAAATTAACCACGCCGCTGACGGCCGGTCGCTCCTCACCGCTTGAGCATGTTTGTACAATTGATCCTAAGTGGCATGTACTTTTGAAACGTACTCACTTTAAGAGTTGGGTTTAAGCGGTAATGCAGAATAATCACCAGAACATTCCCTCACTTTTCACTCGCTAACAACGGTGCCCGATCTCCTCGGGGTCTCTCCTCGCACCGCTATTCCCTCCTCGAGAAGTTTCCGAGCTAGCGACGAGCTGAGCTTTTAGATCGAGTGGTAGTAGTGCGCGGAGCGATGTCGAGAAGGGAAAGCCGGGCGCCAGCTGTCCTCGCACGATAAGTAGCGTGTTTGTGTGGTTTTGTGTCGAGGTGGGCGGCGTGAGCGGAGCAGGCGCGGCCGCGACCCATCTCGCCGCCCTGGACCCGATCAGTCTCGCCCTGCTCGCCCCGCAGGTAATAGACACCATCGGCACCACCACGTCCAGCAAATATCTCCCCAACCCATCTAATCCCATACTTAACGTTCCTATCGTCCGAGCTTTGTCTAAACTTTCTATAAAACAGACTATTATACATAGTTACAGATCAATATCCAATGATCAGCTATTTTGAATTATATTTCAACACTGTGATCACGTCATAGCCGTATACGATTCCTACTGTAGTTCATAACAATACACCGAATTCGCGCAACGGGTAATACCTATATTTATTACGTAAATTCTATGAATACTCGCAAATTTAATGTAATTAGTGAATTTTAATACTACTACTCATTCACTCATACACATAAGTGTCCTAAGAAGTGTATTTATATATATATTCTTGAGTTAGAAGACAAATTTAATTCGATTAGTTGATTAGAGTTGCAAAAAGTTTAATTCTACGGCAAAGTTGAGATCCACCTTTCCACGAGGTTTATTCAACCAATTCCATCCATGCTTTATCATCGGATATGTTTGAGAAATTTTTATTGCAGTCTAAAATTTTTAATTACAATTAAAATATATGAACTTCTAGTTTTATTCGTGAACATACCTGCTGGTTTGGCGTGGAAAGTCCTGTGTTTTTCTTAATAGCACAATTATATCCTACCACCATAATTTTTATATCAGTCGGTGGCCGGTGGATAGCTTTAACAAATTAAGCTTATTTAAATAATTTTATTATTTTTAATGCATGCCATGCTTTAATCTGCCTCTTAAAAGAATAATTAAAGAATCGAATTCAGCGCTTCAGATAGTATGTAAATTATTATATTTATTAATTACTATTATACATTTTTGTATAAAACCGTATATATATATGTGTGTGTGGGTGTGTGTGTGTTTATTCTAACATGTATTTTGTTCGGTGCCACAGGCTACATCGCCGTATCTGTCCGGCGTACCCGGTGTCGGTTCGACGTACGCGCAGTACTACACGCCCCAGCTGGTACCCGCCATGCTGGGCCACGACCCCGCAGCGGCGGCGGCGTCTCCGCTAGGCGTCATGCAACAACCTGTGTTGCAACAGAAACTACCCCGCACCGATCGCCTCGAGGTAAGAAACGTGCCCTATCTATTGTATACACTACCTTATCCCCAGTAGCGCTTCCTGGTGTTGCCATTTTCTGGAGACCGACAGGCATTTAAACTTTTCACAGATACATTATCTTTTAAATTGATTGGAAATATATATGCAATATGTCGGTCTCTTTTGCAAAAGTACAGGCTGTGGAGCCCACATTTTATCCTGATATATCTGTGCGCGCGTGGGCGCAATGGCCCAATGGCTTTGCGAGCCTCACTCGCTTTATTCCACCGCAGTGAAAGGCCTACTGGTGGCGATACTTTAACAGCAGACGGATATCAAACACTTGTTTGTAGAGATGTATAGTAATATCATTAACACTTACCTGAAACCAAAAAGTGCGTCCCCTGTAATTCCCACATTATCTCAGTAAACAATTCAAAGTTCTTAGAGGGTTGAAAATGAAAGCGTCACTTTAATAATTATTTAATTAATATCTACTGATGCGACGGATGCGTAGATTAATTTCACTCAATCGCACCTCTGTTCGATATCAAAGCGGCGTCCGATCGGGTATAAACTTGCAAAACAGTTTTTAAGAATAGACGTCTACCTAAAACCATAATAGTGTAATTTTGAATACATAGTATGAAGTAGAATAGGCGCGTTAGACTAGAGTTGGTCGGTTACCGGGATAGTAGTGAGTAGGAGGGAAATATGGCGGGCGCTGGCGCGAGCGCGGGCGCACGAGCGGCGACATGGCTGGTGTATGGTGGTGCAGGTGTGCCGGGAGTTCCAGCGCGGCGCCTGCAAGCGTGCAGAGTCCGAGTGTCGCTTCGCGCACCCGCCGCCGCCCGTCGTCGCCCACGACGACGGCTGTGTCACGGTGTGCATGGACGCCGTCAAGGGCCGCTGCGTCCGCGACCCCTGCCGCTATTTCCACCCTCCCCTGCACCTGCAGGCGCACCTTAAGGCGCAGGCGCGCGGCGCGGTACGCCACCAGGCTGCACGCTCTCGCCTCGCTCGATCGCGCTCGCTTCACTTCTTCCGCTTAGTCACAGTTAATTTTAAGAAACCAACTCGCCTCACACAGACGACTTTGTCGTTTCAACAGACAGACACTCACCGCTTTAAGTCTTCTAGGAAGGATATTATGTGTATTCATGTATATTCTATACATGTGCAAACAGTTATGGAATACAAATAAATCTGTACTCGCATTGGGACCTATAGCGGCGAGTGCCCTGTAGTGCTGTGAGTAACGGCGACGACCCCACTCTTGGTGTGGAGTCGGGCACTGGTTGCATTAAGTTAACTGTGGCTTGGTCTCGTCGCGACGCCGCTTTTGTTCGCAAGGCTTTGTTCATTTAAGTTCGCCGCGGTATCGTTCCGCCCCACGCTTCCGTCGCACTCACGCTTCACTTTTTAATTTTTTTTATCTATCGCATAATGTCACCTTACGCCGAGCTTTAGGTGTATTCTGTGCATCTATTACATCGTTATTGTTTCCGTCCCGTCCTGCGCCGCTTCGCTTCACCTAGACGGCCGGCGGAGCGCAGCAGGCGGCAGGGAGTGCGACTTCGGAGGCGGGAAAGAAACGGCCGGCGCCCGCCGAGCTCGAGCCGCCACCGGTACAACTGCCAGCTTTGCACGCTTGTTGTCCCTGTTCCCTCCAGCTCCTGGCTCCCGCACGCTTCCTATGCGTTCCATGGCGAGGCGCACGCGACGCGACACGGCCCCCCCCGCCCGTGTCGTGCCGCGTACGCCTGCACACGCCCCTTGCAAACGAGCCCGTCGACCTCCGCTCAACCATCTTGTTTCTCGTTTCAGATGGACATGAAGAGCGTCGGATCCTTCTATTATGATAACTTTGTAAGTATTTGAAAAAGTATAAACAAACGTTTCACATACCGCGCAACTTTTTAAAAGTATTCATGTTACATTTCTAGAATACTTACGTCAAGAAACATAAGCATAACACTTTATTAAAGCGACATCTTAAAATTTTCAGGCCTTTCCTGGTGTGGTATCATACAAACGCCCGGCTGCGGACAAAGCCGGCATGCCCGTGTACCAGCCGCCGACGACTTATCAGCAACTGATGCAGTTGCAGCAGCCGTTCGTGCCCGTGTCATGTGAGTACCCCGCGCCCGCGACGTCCGCCCCGCCGACCGCGGTGCCCGTCTCCGCACCGGCTATGCCTCCTCCGCAGCCGGCGCCCGCGCCTCACCCGCCCCCGCAGCCCGCCCCGCCGCAGCCGGCCCTGCCCCCCACCTTGCCGCCCACTCTGCCACCACAACCGTCGGCGGCACCCTCACCGCCCTCGTCATTGCCGGACTCCGCCACGCCCGACCCCGCTGCAGTCGCCAAAGAAGTGGCGCAGAAGAATTATGCCGCAGCTTTGGCTTTGGCGGCGCAACAGTCGGCCATGGCTCACGCGGCCGCCGCATATACACAGCAAGCCTTTAAAGCGCGGGCCGCTATGCCGGGGCTGATGCGAGCGCCGCTGATGATGAGGCCGACGGGCTGGCCTACTCCGCCGATGCCCATGCAGTTCTACCAGCAGCCATATATGTACGCCATGCCGCCCCCGACTCCGCCCGCGGCAGCTGCGGCTGCGGCGGCGGCGGCGGCCGCTGCGGTCAATCCTTATAAGAAAATGAAAACCACTTAAGTGGGCGAGTGAGCCGCGGCCGGCGGGGCTCAAAGCGCGGGGTCTCCGCTTAGAGACTCATATTTGTGCGATAAGTGTGGCCCCGGCCTGTCGGGGCATTAGCGCTAGGCGTGTTGTCACATTTGTATTGTATAATTAATTATCGACTGTGCGAGCGAACCCCGTCTCGCAGACGTCTCCGTAGTTTTACGCTATTGTAATTTACCTATTGTATATTTCACTCACTTACCGTTATTATCTTATGCGTGTATATTTCTCGTATAGACCCCGGTAATAATAACGCTTTACATGCATGACCGTACGTTTTTTATTACCTTTGTCGATCGTGTTTCGCGAGTATCGTCGTACTCAGAGTTGAGCTTGGTCCGTCGATCCCGTTTCCCGCTACGTACACGCTTTGTCTCGGAGGAGTTTCGCACGGGTGCGCTTTGGCCATTGTGTCGCCCAGTACAATCTAGGTTTCAGGCTTGCACCGGCAGGCCCGCACCTAACACGGCGCCTTCTAATTTAGCATGGATAGAACCCAACACCCTTTACGTTTGGCTCATCAGGTACTTTTCCTCATTACTTTAGTGCTCCTCGTGTGTGCTCAGTGTGCCGGCGTGTTCGTCGAGTAGCGTTGCCTTTTTGACTCGCACTTATTTCTATTTATTTTTAACGCTTTCTGTTACATGCCTTCCGAATGACCGCTTCGGCTGTCGTCCGCATTACAAATCTTTTGTGCTTAATTGTGTTGGATATGGACAGGCTGTGCGCCGCCCAATGCTCCCTATGTGGAATACACGGACGAACGGGGACAGGTAAAAGAGTGCCGCGTGACCAAGGCTTCTCCACGTCGCACGCGCTGAGCTTCCCACACCCTGTCACTGCCAGACTGAAAGCCAAAGCATAACGACACGATATTGTGTTCAAATCGATGACAAAACATTTAAAATTAAAACCGTTTACACACAAGTTATTATGCGAACTGGCTCTCCTGTGCAATCCAGCGATCCTTGAAGTGTGGGCCGTTGTCCGTAGCGCTAATGTTAATTCCTCGACACGTTTTCATCCCTTCTATCGCTCTCGGGACCGTGTGCCCTAACCGCTGCGCTATTACAATATCGACTAAACATATCGCCTCTACTATACGCCTGAAATCAGCTTATTAAAACTTACTAGCAAAATCTACACAAAAGGAGATCATAACCAAACGGCAATAACATTTCTTCGCTAGTGTGTTACCTTGGACGATTGGAGCTTGCTTTTACCACACGCTTTCGTAGAATTTATTAGTTCCGCTTTCAAGGATTTGATTAGCGTAAGATTCTTGGAACGGACTGTAATAATATACCTTTAACCATTTATACTGATTAAGGAATTAGATTCTATGTTTTACAAATGTAAAGAAAAATTAGATTTCTCCTAAACGCTACCAGCCTCTTGTAACGTGGATGCCGACGACGGTGCCGGTACGACAAGGTTTATATACAAACTTTCAAGTTCATTTTGTATAATACCAAAATACCTGTCGCTTATCCTTTTATCTATACCATGATCATCTCAAGCATTTAGTCATTGTTTTGTTATAGTAAAATATTGTTGTGAACGGTTGATGCTACAACATGTTGACGATTTTAGTTTTGTATAGTGAACATTTTCGCTTACAAATGTGGAAGAAGTCACTCTACAGTATTTGCCTTGCTTACACCCGGTAAGATATAATCAGCTTACTTTAATATCCTCAATTTAAGTACCCTTTGTAAACCTTTGATGAAATATCGACTTATGTAACATAACAGCGACGATACTATCTTTGATATGTAAAAGAACAATTGGTGGATATTTCAATGAAGGTTTTATTGATACAAATTTAACGAAGCCAATTTAATATTGTTAAAGAGTTGACTATGTATTATGTCATAATATTATTTGACCTGACGTGCATATTATTCTGATAAAGTAACTTTTGTTAACGTGTCAACTCCTTAACGGGAAGGAATTCCAGACTATTGTCAGTGTCAACTATCAACCGCTACAAAGGGGGTTTAATACAATATTAGAACTCATATACTTAATGCTTTTGTAATAATTTCTGCGTAGTTGGTAGTTGAAATGACAGCAGCGGAAAAAGAAAAATCGAAGTGATGCACCCAATTAGGAAGTAGCGGACGGCCAAATTCTTAAACTTACAACCGCCGAGAGCGCATTACCGGATTCTCTTTTGTGAGCCGGCTAATTATCCACTTCGAATTTTCTTGAAATGCTTAAAGTGCTTCGCCAATGCGGCTTCAGTTCCTCGCTTACGACTCGTTGAAGCCCTTTCTGATGCTTGAAGTACTCACCGTAGACGTAATTAATCTCTGGTTTTCTTTTGTTTGTCGTACAGTAACCGCACTCTAATGGTCATTATGTTGCAGTTTGTACTACCACTAACATGTCACGTGCAGAACTGTCATGTAAGCTAAAGGTATAAGTTTAATTTACATTTAACCATGCCTTACCGTCGCATGACCGCCCCAGTTCCTCTACTGCGAACATCTGAAGATCTAAACATCACAGCCGACGCAGAAACACGTCGTAACCCCCCCACACAGCCTTCTTAGCTTAGCAACAGCCGGTTTTATGGGTACACTCGGACGCTACAGAACTTTAGTCGCCCTCGCCCTGGTAAAACTTGTCTAGCATCATGCTTCAGCTTTTTGTAAAATATAGTCACGCTTAAAAAGATTGGCTGCGCAATTATGATTATATTTCAAGCGTTCTGCATGCCATTTAGATATTATATATTCATTACCTATGTGCATAGTGCAGCATCTTAACACAACTCTGACGGTTTCGGATCCCATTCATGTATAACCGACTCGCTAGGTCCGCATTCTCTCCTCAGTTCTCTATTAACGTCCAACCGACAGATCTTGACAATATAAAAGTGACACACTGTCAGCGCGCTATACGAAAGAATGCTTGGAAGGTACAATCATATTGTGCATCGAATCTTGTAAAGTTATTGTAATATTGAAGCAGCAAATTTAAGCAGTTTCGCCTTCCGTGTATCTTCTTTTTCTTGCTATTTTGTATGTAGCGACTGGGAAACTACACACGCATTCGTTAATAAATACATCGGCGGTGATATTAAAAGTGAGTCCTTTTGGACGCGTGCTCTTTGATATTACAAAAGCTACTTGAGCGAATATTTTCAGACGGCTGTGCAATGAAGATTATTCAGTGTCAGATATGAATGTCTATAAGCGATGATATACATTACATTTACGATTAACACAATTAACAGACGTTCATAAACCGTCATGTCCAAAAGACGGTAAAATCTAGTGACAATGAAACTACCTTCTTTATCTACTCTTGAATAAACACATTGAAATGACTGTTTATGAAATAGATTTAAAATAGCATTCGGATTTAATTGCCGCAGAATTGAATTACCATGAAATTTTATGAATATTTCAGTACACATATGTCATCAATAATCGACACCGTATTTGTCATAAATAATTCAGACAAAAAAATAGATGAATTTGAAATTGGAACACGGCATATATTATGACATTTCAGTTGCAACAGCGTACTACGGCAAACAGACCAGTGTGTACGAGCCTTTACTCACTAAATATTTCTAACTGCGGCAATTATCCGAATGTTTTTCAGGAATTGCCGAGTGAATACTTATTTTTCTATTGTTGTATTTACAGTTACTGGACACCCTCCCGGTGTGCCAAGATTTTAATCGACAAGGGTGCAACAGACCAACCTGCAGATTTGTTCATATTCGTGAAGGTAGGTTGAAACCATTGTGTATTTCTTTAGTATTCATTAAAACGTTTGTTATTGGTACTGTAATCATTCGATAGTACCATTTCCGTCCTTTTAAAGTAACTACAAGGAGTAGCTATAGCAACGAACTAATACTAGTTGTTTATGAATTTTCAACATATCGTAGTACATATTTTCGGAGAAATATAACGAAAGATATTGATATGATTGTTTCAGTAGCCTTTGAAACATGCAGAAAATCCCATATACCATTTTATATCTTGCATGATATCCCGTAATAACATATTTTATGTGTTTTCAGAAAATGAATGTTTGTACAATTTTAATACAAGCTTCTGTAATCTTTGAATATGTTGACCAGTAGTTTATTATATCGTGTAGTTAGGTATTGCACTTTTATTTTTGTTGTATCTTACATATGTATGAATCAATATCGTATTGCAGGGTCTGTTAATGTTTGAATGAAAGAATCTACACATCTAAGAATTAAACAAGTTTACTGTGTACTGCTTCTTAGAATAATACAGTAACGAAGGATGTTATTAGAATTGCAATACCTTATATAAAGATAATACTATATATGAACGATGTAGATAATTTTGCAGTAGAAAGTTCTAAACGTTTTAGATTAGCCAAAATTAGAATTACTAGACAATAACATAGGACTTTATTTAACCAGTCGCATGATCTTCTGCCAAGAAATTAGTTTCAGTTGTCCGATGTCTTAAATGGTGTTTCAATCGCTTGGTATGTGTACGTGTAATATTTCTAATGCATATCTCGTGATTTCCAGGGTGCGGGCTACAGGTGGTGGGGTGTCGTGTGGTAGTATGCCGCGATGCCGCGGCGGGAACTTGTCGCCGAGCTGCATGTCGCTACTACCACATCCCAGTGCAGCTGCCGCCGGCTTTGCGACCTCCTTAAACCTGATCCCCTCGTTCCCCCACCCCTGCACCTCTGCACCCACACCCCGTGACCTTCACTCGCTCGCCACCCCCCACCCTACCATTCCACCGCCACCGATTCCTTGCAGCCCGCGCCCCGCGCAATCCATATCGATCGCGCCTCTGTCACACTCGGGAAAGTTGAGCTCCCGCTGCGGAGGCGGATATCTTAGCGGTTAGTCTGTAGCGACGGAGGCGAGCCGCTGTCGACGCACGCGACTCGCCCCCGCCGGGAACGTGTGTAAGTCTTCGGGATAGAGTGTGTACATAAGTAGCGGGATATGATTCTCAGGCACGGTCGTGCGATTGTGATATGAATAGTTTTCGAAACGCAGGAGCCGTATGAATATTTTCGAGCCGTATGAATAAATTTTGTCGAGAACGTAACGACATCGTCGAATAGTAGTTAGTGAGGTTTCAAATGTTTTATTACTATTATATATTATTTTTTTAAGATACGATATGAGTTCCTGTAATGATCGGCGCGGGCGCCGCTGGCGCCTTGCCCGTTCGTTGTAAATAAGCGAATGAGGTGGGCGGCGAGAGGGTCGGGCCGCGCGCGCGACTCTCCCGCCGCCGCACCGCAGCTTCTGGCTACGGCCGAGGCCGGTGTCAAAAGTTGCAACCCACTCCTATTGTGAGCATTTTTGTGAGAACTATGTTACTTTTTTACGTATGTTATGATTTGTGAAATTTTGTTTTATAGATGACAAGTTTTACACTAGTTTAGATTAAGCGAGTCAAAAACACCAATAGAGTAGCCGCTTCTCTCCTTCGGCACGAAACTTTTGACGCCGGAGCACAAGTCACGGCCGGTCGAGCGGCCCCACTTCGCCCTCTCTACACGTAGCGTAGGTCGCAACACTCCTAGAGTGGTAGCAAACAAATCAAATTGAACAATGAACGTTGTCGGACAATATTGAATCGAAGGCATACTTCCAAGCTATATACCTACATTCTAGGTTAGACGTTGGCTTTTATTCCAGATAGATTTTGCTAGATAATCAATGTACCGATCGAATTCCGTCTACGGATGCACAAACGGTGACCGACGATCGCGTCCGGATAAACTTCAATTTCTGCGTAATGAAATAATTCCCCCGTTTTGTTCTTTTTTGTACGTAAACAGTATTAAGTTTCGGTTCGAAATCTCGAGGTATGTATGTAGAGGTGATATGTGGATCGAGAGAGGCGGGAGGAACGCCTCGGCGCGCCCTCCGCTCCGGCCGGGGCGAAGCGCCGCCGAGGCACGAACTTCCCGAGGCATGGAGACCCATCGCCTAATATTATTCCTAGTCCATATCCTTTTGTTGATCAGTCATGCGTATAATATTAGAATAAAATATTAATAATTTGATTTATTCCTCCCATTTAGTGGATATTTTGATAATGATATATGAATAATGAAATATTTAAGATACATAATACATATTTGATTCTAAATCCTGATAAAGTGACACTACGTTAGAAATTTAGTCGGAGGGATACTTGTGCCGTGATTATATTTTTAGGTATATATTATGAAATAAATAATTCCTAGCGTCGGAATTAAAGAAGTGATTAATGTGTAAGCGCGTTATATTTATTGTCGTGTAGCGTAAGTGGAATGCCATATCGATAAAAGGTGAATAGCGAAATTGGAGTTAAACTCGTTAGGAGAGGTTTCGTTTCTGTTTGTATTGACTATTGATTGTTGTTATCGGCGGCTGACGACGTTTCGCTTTTATCAATACGGCAATATGACTAAACACATAAGTTGTCATTTATTTTTTTGTTGAAATTTATCGTTTCATTATTTGTTACTTATCATTTTTATTATCGAAATTTATTATGATCTGACGCATTTATTGTAAGACAATCGATTATTTTATAATTAATTAGTGTGATGTTAACAGTGACGGTATAAAATTGCCGTCACGAAAGAGAGAACATCGAAAGTATCCTTCCTGTTTAGAAGGGACTCGTCTGGCCCTAGGTTTCTAGTATATTTTATATTTTTCTTTTTGTTGTATTTTTAATGTTGCGTGTGTCTTACACATAATATATTTCATTTTTGTGATATTTTTAACTATAAAGTACTGTTATTGTAAATCCAAGTGGAATAATGAAGACCTAATAAATATTCAAGAATTTATTTGTATATCACAAAAAAAATGTAAAACTGTAAATATATTGACGAAAATTAACAGCGACACAATAATTGATTATTACTATGGTTATAATATCTCTCATGAAGTACACTGTAAGTCTTTAATACCTAAATAAAGGTATGTTATTATAGTAGGTACAGTCTACTAAAAGTAAACCGGTCCAGTGAACAAAGTATTGATATAATATTGTGAACATTTTTTTATTCACGAGCATTCACAGAAAGTACATGACATTGTAATATTATTTATGAAATTACTATGTGATGTGATCTTCGGATCAATTTTGAGTACAGTATAGATAATAAACAACTGAATATGTGATGTGACAATTTTATTTCTACCCCTGTCAATTAGATAAACAAAGAGAAAACTTGCTAGGTACTATTTTTTATGCTATCAAGCTATCCAGTCAGCCCAGAGAATTAAACAGTTATAATATAATCATATAAGTAGAGCAATGAATCATCTCTACGAAATACCAGGAAGTGCCCTACTTATTCATAAGCAAAAATGTTACACCTTTATATATCGTAAGTATATCCTCTATTGATAAAAGTCATTATTTCGGATATCCTTTGTCCTATTTAAGTGAGCATGGTCTTTGAAGTTTTTAATACAAGTCACAAACAAATTCATTTGACCTACATATTCTGAATAGTAAATCAAAACGTAGTATAATATTTAACAAAAGCGTAAGATTTAATTATATTCATCTATGTCAAAGTTTATACATAAATGACGTAGCTCTACAAGCTTAGCGTAATTTTTTAGCTAAGCTAAACTAACTTAGCTATGGAACTAAGTCGTGGTCTGCAACCCTTTTTTTTTTTTTTTTTTTTTACTTGGAGGAATCGACTCTTTACCGACGCCCCCGCCGGGCCACATCGAGTGGCGGGGGGAGTGTGGGGGTCGGCCAGCTTGACCACTACCCACTAAACCTCCAAGAGCCCACGGGAGACTTGCCGGACGCGAGCGAGCGGTTAGTTGCCCTTGACCCGCATGCCCGCGCCCGTGTGTCCTGCCGCGCGTGTTTCCCGCGCGCGGCTCGCCCTACGTGGCCGGTTGATGGCCACGTCTCCTGGCTCGGTCCTAAGACCGAGGTCACGGCTGGCGCCGGGCGTAATCGCGCCGGCGCCGCCCAAGTCTCCTCCGTCGGAGTGCGGGGGCGTCGGGAGCAATCTCCCTCGCCCTCTCCGCTTCCTCCTTTCGCGAGAGTGGTCTGCAACCCTACAACTCAGAAAGTGGGGACTTCACTAACGCACACGCACCGGGATCTATTTGTCTTATTATATAAATATTTAAAATTAATAAAATATTCCCAAAAGAAAATAAGATAAATAATTCACAAATCATGTATATCTAGCCTACGTCAACCCGATGTATAACTTCCGCCAACAATCCAATGTGGACAAATTGTAATAGCCTAATATAATATTTTCTAAATAAAACACTTTAACGGTTTAAAAAGCGATATATTTGTTTAACTAATATATCGCGATTTAAACCGTTAGTGTTTTATTTAAATATGTACTACTCGCGTAAACTATAGACAGTATTTAAATTATTTTCACAAATAAAAATAATTTTTCATTTACCTATCCCATTCACCATCCCCTCCACCATCTTTTAGGTTTTAACGCTTGTCCATAAAGTTTATTGTGTATTTTGAATCATTATTGGTCAAGGTGATTTAGAACTTATTATTTATTCAATAAAACTTTTTTACACGTTCCTTTACCATAACATGTATGTCCAAAAACGCTGCAACAATTTTGTCTGCAAGACATATATAAATTATGCATATAATCTGGAGCATGAAATTCGAGCGAATAAACATCTGCACAATTAATTTTACATATCAAAGTCTGTGGTTAAAAGCTAGTAACTATCTCTGTCGTTTGACATAATCATCTACGAATGACAGGTGTTTATCTGTCATCCGTAGATTATACATTATAGTTTAACTAATCTGTGGCGTAGTTGAAGGTTTTCAATTTTTATCATACATTGATGATTTTATTTTTTCTTAATTTATTTTAATTTTACTGTAAAGGTACTGTAATATTACTGGATTAAAGTATTAATGATTCTGAATTCTGATGTGTCTTTTGTTGCATGATGATACATTCCATAAAAGCGAAAATTTGTTATATTAAATAATATGGAGAAAATTGCAGCAAATAGAATTTAATAAGACGTTTCTAATGTAAATTAATCCGAAAATACATGTTAATGTAAGTATAGATACAAATTATGGACTATGGACGTATTTGAATTTTTTTATACAGACTTTGTCAATTTTAATTTGTTTGCAGAACTAACAGACCACAATGTTTGCAAGTTTAAAAAGTAAAATAAAAGAAGAAACAGGGAGTGATATAAGCAAGTTGACGAGTAGTTGGCGTAGTGGAGCGTTTTTGGGAAGGCTTTCAATGAGAGATGATTCTGTATGGATTTTTGTGTCAGCAATTTATATACCAAGTAAATTTAAAATTTAATCATTAATATTCATTGACCTTCTTACTTCCAGTCGACAACAAGTCCATCAAGTTCTGGAGGTCAGGGAGACACAACATCTGATGTAAGAATCCTTTTAAGAATATTTTTATTATGTCTACCATATTTAATAGAAGGCAATTGAAAGAAATTATCTCTTAAAAAGAAACTAAAAATCAATAGTGTATTGTCCACTGAATATCCTAATGTACCATCTACCAATGCACATTTAGTCAACATTATAAATCCAGCAACAGTAACTGTTTCAAGAAGTTTTTATTATGATGACAATAGATATAACAATAATAAATTGATATTACATTTTAGTCAATATCACCCCAGCTACAAACATACCTATCAGATCGTACTGGAGGTCAGGTGGACCAGGTCGCCCTCCATCAGCAGTATACTGCACAGCTAGAGGAAAAATTACGGGACAGAGACCAGTATTGGGAACAAAAAATTGACGAATTGAAACTTTCACTTGCCTCCATTCAAGGTAAACTAAACTGTATTTGTCAAACAAAAACAAGTATTAAAAAAACATTTTTGCTTTATATAAAACATTAGTTAGTCATACTATATAAAAAGTTATTAGACCACTATTTAAGGAAAATTTCTATTTCTTAAATGATTAAGGTATAATTAAAAATCAATTTGATTGTAATTAGCAATAAAAATGTTTAAAGGTGAAGAAGCATTGGCAGCTCAAACGGTAGCTAGAACAGCTCAGGCAGAAGCAGCTAAAGCTACAATAGAGAGGGATCAAGCTCAGAAACAGCTAAATGATCTTAAGATAAGATTAGCGATAGCTGAAAATGCACAAGATCGACTTGATACACTAAATGTAAGATGATCAATGTTTTTGTTACAGAGAAATCAAACAAATATATTTTTGTTTGATTTAATAGTATATTGGAGTTTATATTATCTGTGTTTTTATTCAGATTGTAATTTACAATTTGCAATTCACATTGAAATCAATTATTTAAGGTTGTTAACTTTGCTTAAATTATTTTATTACATACTTATAAAATGTAGGTCTCCATTATCTAATCATAGTACAAAATTCTGGTTTAATATAAAAGTTAGTTAACTTACATTTATTTATAATGCATTTATTACAAACACTGTAATGACAAAATTATGCTTAGGAGGAGTTAGAGGAATCAAGGCGCCTGTGGGCCCGGGAACGTGCGGAGCTGACGGCAGCGCTTAGCGCAGCGGATGCTCGTACGAGAGACCTGGCTGATGAACTGCAACTTCTAAAAGCTGCACTGCCTCTCTCTCATCCGAAACATCATATGCATGACGATGGTATAACTATTTTTACAAAATTTAGTGCATATTTTATAAATAGTTTTCGAGATTATTTGTATTTATTATTTAGTATATTTTTATGCATTGGATTTGAATTTTTCCTTCTGTAAACATTAAAGATTAACATATGGATTAGATACTATTCACAAAACTAAAAAAAACTTTTACTTCTAATTACATATATTTTTTATTATAAACAATTAGCAGTACACATAGTTGAATAATATATATTATATATGTTACATGCATTTAATTCAAAGTAATAATTTTATTTTGATTGTCCAGACAAACGTGAGATGCAAGTAACAGGATGTGACGATTACGACCGTGTCTGTCGAGAAAAGGCCGTGCTGTCGCGACAGCTCCAGGAAGCACGGATGGTGCTGGCTGATGTCAAGACTTCGTGGAGTGCTCAGATTGCTTCACTAGAGACCCAGGTTAGTATAGCACGTTCAAAAGTCTGCTACAGGAAATAGCGGTTCTAAAAAAACACACACACACATGAATCTCAACTTATATCGATGAGAATTAGTACACGTTTTGTTTTTTTTTTTTTCAAATACTTTATATATATATATATTAATATATATATTTACTAGCCGCATGTATGTATGTTAACAAAAAAAAAATCAAAATCTTCATTACATAGCAAAACGCGTTTTTTGTGGTAAGTTGTTTCATTATAAGATTGGCCTGTGTAAACATTTCACCCATACGTGCATAGTGTCCTTACATTTTTTAAAAATTAGTCCTTAGTTATTTTCTTATTTCTAATTGACTGGTTCGTAATGGAAAATATATATAATTACTAAATTTTTGAACGCCTCTGGACCATTTATAAAACAGCCGTTCTCGAGTTATAAGCGTTCAAACGACCTGACTTTGTATAGATTACGATCAATTATCTAGTATTATTAGGTTATCTATTATAAGCTAGTTATGTCAATAGTTGGCCCGATTGTCGCGTCAAGCAGGAGAAGAAGGAGCAGAGAGGAGAAGAGTGGAAAACGAGAAGAGAGAATTACAGCAGAATCTTTTAGAATTATCCGCTGACCTCGAAAAGACTAGACAAAATCTGGCTAATAGTGAGGCTAAGGTACTTTTGCCACGTTACATCATACTTCACAGTGCTTACAATTTGTTCATACCTTCGCTTTAGCGCCTCATATTAATTTCTTGCCCTTCGGTTTGTCTGTTGTCGACTGGCATTCCAGTTGTAAATACTAAATTGTACTGACTATGCCTTGTCTGCTATAGGATGATAATTTTGACACTCATTTTTCTAATTTTGATTTTAACCAACCCAGATAAAAACAATAAAAAAAAAAATAAATAATACAATTTGTGTTCTGAAGTCACTGACTTTTTAAAAAATAAGTTTTAAGTTTTAAAATTAAGAAAAACCTAATTAGTTCACTAACTTTTAGTAGCTTACATATTATGAGATATTTGTCATCTTATATTTAACATATATATCATCTTATTGTCCTAATCGCATCTCTGTCGCACATTTAACCATTTCACACTGTACGATTTGTATAAATTGGGTTGCGTATGCGCCGTTGGGTTAACTTATTGGGCGCTACCCAGGTGGTGCGATTGAACGGGGAGGTGCATACTTTGGCCATGGAAGTGAAGACTTTGCGCAACTCAGCGAGCGGCGCGGCCGTGAGTCCCAGCCTCTACAGTATTTAGTCGTATCACTTTGTCGTACGACCGATACGACATTCAAATCTAAATATGTAATATGTTGGCAATACAGTAGCCAGATTCACTTAATTAACTTAAATAGCGTAGACAAGTTTTTAGCTTTCGCGTAAATATAATTTGAATTGTTTTTTCATCGAGACACATCAGTCAAAGAGACAGATCTAACTGTGGACCCCTTATAGGTGCATGCAGTTATAAAAAGAATCAAGGTAGCTATAATTATCAAAATAAAACTCTTAATGTTTTAAAGTGAAATGAAATCGTTTTATGTTCTATTGACATGATATTTCGCGTTTTAAACCGTTAAAAACGTTATATATAAACGCGTACAACTCGCGTAAACTAAAGGAAATAGCAAGGTGTAATAACTTAATTAGGTTACGATTCTTACGATTCACCTCGATTGTCGTGTCACGAAATTACGTGAATCTGGTTTTAGTTTGTATACGTTAATAATCGTATCGGTTATACTAAAGCAACTTAATATTATCACGAACGTATTGTAACGCGCGCCGTCCTTTAGTTTCACATTCCTTTATATATTTTCAAACGATTTGTGTTATTGTTTGACTATTTTATAGATTGTTTTGTATTTTTTATATTTTATCTTAATCTGTAAGTAGAAATAACGTTATATGGCATTATGCATTTCTGTAGTACTTAATTTTATTTTGATTATTTTGAGCGCAATTTTAGATTATATTAAGTAGCACCGCTTTTTAGCGAAACGATATTTGTATGATTCACTTATCACTGATAGGACTCTAGATAAAACAAAGTACACTAAACTCGTCACGTGAGCTATATCTTTCTGCTTTAGAGGACGATACGTGTGATATTCTTAATTGCCACCGCAAAGTAAGTTACACTTGCAATAATAATCTAATATATTTCGGTGCAGCTTAAACATTGTAATATTCTTATTTGTTTTGCAATAAATCTTGTTTGTTTTTAGTTGTTTTTTATTATTTATCCTTGTATATAACAGTGTCATTTTTATTACTAACTTGCACCTTCGGTTGGGTATTTAAACTTTATTAACTCGAGGACAAATTATTTTTGTAAGTATAGGAAAGTTTAGTAAATATTCTATTCTAGGATAGAGTAATGGATTTAGAGAGAGAAATCGAAGATTTGACAGCGCAGAATGAAGGATTAACGAAGGCGTTGCAAGAAGAACGTAACGTAGTCAGCGGATTGCGGGAAAAACTCGAAGATCAGGCCAGGATATGCGATGAACAGAAAGCCGAGCTGAATCATTTGAACTCAGTTATGACTGATATGCAGCACGACTACATCGATTTACAGAGGAAGCTGGATAAGTAAGTTTACAAACTTAACACTTATTTCGCTTTTTAAACAGTTAATAATGTTTTATATAAACATACTCATAACACACTTTTGGAATACCACTAACACTAGTACCAAATCAATGAGATACGACTAGAATGAATAAATATTAAAATTATATGTTATGTGTGTCCGTGGATGAATTTCTTATTTCAGCAGCTTCTATCAATATTTAAAAGCCAATGTTGTCTTTGATTGTTGACTTGTAGAGTCAAAAATACCTTCACTTTTCTAAAATTACAAATTACCTTCTTTTGTTTAATTAACTTAGTCATATTGCCTTGTATCTACTTATAATGGTACTTTGTCCTTCCTAAACTTGTGGTGAAATTGTATGTACTCATTATTTTTTGTTATTTTAAAGGGAAAGAAGAGAAAAGGACGAAGCTCTATTAAGAAACGCCCATATCTCGCAGAACGTTGAGAAAGGCTTGTGTAATGTTAGATTTCTTGAATCGGAGTCAATCGACCTTAAAACTAAGATAACCGAGTTAGAGGCAATCATAGCTCAGCATAAAGAGGTACACATACATAAATAACTAGTTCATATATCACTTGTATAAATCAGACACATTTTTGTGTCCGTTTTACCTTTCGCTACACAACAGTCCACGTCTAACAAAAACAACTTATTTTTACTTATATAAATAGTATAAAATATCTTCACAAAGTATTACGTGTTAATTGTTCAGAATTTGTCAAAAATGTATATCTATTGCAGAATCAAGCGGCCTGTATGTTAATAAAGGAAAGCGAAGAAACCAAAGACAAAGAAATAGAGGATCTCAAGCAACAACTAGAAGGGTTAAAAGACAGTGAGTCGACTCTTAAGAAAACTGTACAAGACTTAGAAGCTGAAATCTGTGATAGAAATAAGGTACCTATGTATTTATTATGTTTTTATATGAAAATTAAAATAATTTAAACTAGAATAAAGTAAGCAGTTATACCAAAGATAAGATCTAGTGTGGCTCTCGTGATCTTATTTCATCATGTAGGAAATGAGGCTAACATTTCTGTGGTTGTTTCAATTACAGCCAATACAGGGAAATAATTATTTTGACTATATAGTTCCCGATCGACAATAAATGGAACCCCCTGGGATTCGAACCCAGGAGAGGTTATTATCCTTGCTTGAAAATTTACTTATATTTATGTCTTTTCGTTGCAGAAAATTAAAACCTTAGACAATAGAATATCGGACATGAAAAAGACGTTACAAAGAGAATTGCAAAGCAGCAAATCAGATCTTTCGTCAGCTGAAGAGCAGGATATTAGTAGACGGTTAGTATTTAACCTAAATACTGTCTATAGTTTACGCGAGTAGTATACATTTAAATAAAAAACTTTAACGGTTTAAAACGCGATAATGTTCCCGTGGTCACGAGAAGATCATGGCTGCTGCAAAGCATCCGAAACGTCGGGCCGAAGTTAAAAATCATTTTCAAATACGTTTAACTAATATATCGCGTTTTAAACCGTTAAAGTGTTATATAACCGTTTAGTAGAGCGTCCCCCACTCCTTAAGTCGTCAAAAATAAGCAAAGCAAAGACTACGACGATTGGAATTATGAAAACTGTAAAAAGGGCTTTTTTTTCTATTCTATTTTTTAGCTGTAAGTTTTCCTTTAAAATGTAAATCGATACATAGTCGCTAATCTCGGGATTTGAAATTGGTTAGAGCATTTATTGAGAGAGGCTATAAAACATTACGATGTGACTAATAGGAGACTAGAGAAATATTCTTAAATATGATATATTAATCACCTTTGAGGTTTCCGACGCGTGCGCTGCGAAAACAGCTAAAACATGGTATCTTAAAAGAGTCTGTGATATTGTATATCTGTTTTTTATTTGCGACGAGACGCGATCCACTTCGTGGGTAACAGCTATAGTTGGTAAGGATGAGGAGGTTTACAAAAACAAGTTTTGAAGCCAAAATTAACTATTCTACGCGTACTAAAATTGATCAATAATGTACCGCAATTCACAGATACTTGAAGCACGTAGTACTTCGTTTCCTGACGGCGCGTGAGTTGGAAGCGCGACAGTTAACTCGGGCGCTATCGGTTCTCCTTCGGCTGTCCGCGCACGAAGAGGCATTACTTAGAGCTGCGCTACCAGCCCGCTCCGGAATCTCTGGTTGGTTTCCAGCTCTTAACACTTGAGTGAACCTCGAGTTTCCTTATACCCTGGCATCCGGATATTTGAACCTATATTATAAAAGAGACACAATATGACTCACGCATATGACGCAATCTCTACTTAGTAATTTCTTCAAAACCAGAAAGCAATAAAATGTTGTATTAGTTGTACCCACAAGAGTTACATTTTAATATTAAATGTAAAACGGGTTGAAGTTTATAAGTGGACAATGTTATGACGTCTCATCCCGTTTTTTGACAGACAATTTTGTTATTTATATGTATTTAGTTAACAGTTAAATATATCTGTATTTTACGCGAATTATACTTTGAATTAGAACATTTTTAACGGTTTAACCACGACCATGGTTACTGCAAAGCATCGGATACCGCGAGTGTTGGGTCGTATTTTAACAATAAGTTAGCTAATATGATTCGCGTTTAAACCGTAAAATGTTTTAAAATGTAAAAAACACTAATGGCGTAAAGAGTTTTAAGAAAACATTTTGTATTTAATATAAAAAAATATTATATAACGGATAAATAAAACTAGCACGGTTCTTATACACGCTAGTAATTGTGTGATATTTGTTCACATTATGCTTGAATAAGAGCGAGAACATCGAATAGTACCATCATAGTAGTTACTCGTAATTTTTATTTCTAATGAATTCCGCGAATTGTTTATTTAGAAGTGTATATTTTTATGACCCACTTTTTTTAGATACCCTATGTTATTAGATAGACTAATTGATATATTAGTTAACCTTAAACGGGCAGTTGCAAAATGTGTTTAGTAAAGTATTAATAATATCTAGTCTCTGAAGAAGAAGGGTAGCTTTATCTTACTTAATACTATTTCTCATAAAACTTGAATTTAAATTTATTTTAGATGCTTGTGGAGCATGTACAATTCTAAATTTGGAGAGCTGCCTTATCAATGTGTAATTATTAAATAACATGTACATATATATCGAAGTACATTTAAAACCTATCGCGGAAGCATTCGCGCCTTGCATTTCCCAAATATCGCATTAAAGAAATATAAGTTTGAAATTCCGACAGTATTATTAACTTTAAACGAAATTTTTTTAATAAAATTTAAAATAATTGTTTTACAAAATCAGTTAGCTTAGTAATCTTTCGATGTCGAGATGGTTGAACAACTTCGGCTTGTTCGCTTGTCGTCATTCGTTCGTTCACGAGATTTGATCATCGTTTAGTGATCGTCTCATAAACGTGAATCTGATGATGTCATCCATTCGTGATGTCGAGAACGATCTCAATTACGACGGACGAACAGCGCGAAAGCCTTATACAATGTTCCACCATTCTTTGTTTGCTTAAAAAAATTCGTAACAAACTCGTTTTTATTCGTTTAGTTTGTCCATGTGGCAATACGATAAAATGAAGTTTAGTACACATATACATATTTGATAATAAATTAATGAATTTTCAACCACTTTTTATGAAATATTTAATTTATATGTAAATATAACACTTCACGCTTAAGGTAATGTTGTCACTGCCTGTTATAAATGGTTAAGCGATCGCTTGTATACTTAAATTGTATGGTTGGCTAAATGGAATGTTAATGATTAAAAATGCTCTCGATACATTAAACATTGGACTCCTAGTTATAGTTCGTAGCGATTGGCGAAAATGCTTGTAGTTTATTGTGAACAAAGAATACGATATACTTAAAATAGTAAGTTTATAAATTTTGTATTAAATGTGTCTTGCCCTCACGGAATTATACAGTAAAACATTCCACACTTTTAAAGTCGGTTAAAATTACTAACATTTTAAAAACTGGTAACATAATTTATTTATCTTTGCATAGGCGGACAAGTATTATAAAGAAGTAATTGAGATCTGTTATATTCTAAAGTATGTACAGTCTAGTCGGATAGCGTTTAACATTTTTTTTTCTTAAATTCCTAGCTTTATTAATAATTTTAAAGGTTTTATTTTTATTATAAGAGTTTATTTTCAATGTTTAATTTTATTAGTTGCATGTAAAAGAGTAGCGTAAAATAATATTTTTGTTTTAAAGAATACACATTATATTGAACAGACAGTGTATTTTATTTTAAAATTATTTTAAGAGTTGTACACAAACAATACTTGCAGGAGCTCGAGATTAAGAGCTCTCTGTATGTTCTACGTTCACATATTATGATGTCATGTATTCTTATGCTTCACCAAGTCATTAAGGTCCAACTCTGCGAAATAACTCCTAGTGAGCTGGATTTTTTTATATACCATCAATGCGGCGTAATAAAGAAGTGGAGAAAGGAGAAATATACCGCGGCTGCTAAAGTTATGAAAGTGAAAAATGATAAAACAATCAGTTTTTCTTAAATATCTCACGCTCAAAGGTCATTCTAAAATTTTTACTGTAATTGTATAGCCTAGCATTTTTCTATAAAATTATCCTTATTCAAGAGTAGAGCGCTGAAAAGCGACTATTATGACGACGTTCCTGATTTCTTAAAACCTTAGAGATAAAATGCTGGGCTCAATCATTTCACATGGTTTCTCATTCATTGTGTCTGTCTCAGTATATCTGTATATGACGCAGCAGGAGGCCTAGTCTGATGGGTGGATCTTCCCCATTATCCATTTCGTGACGATGTACACGCAGGTACTTTAAAGAAAACTATTTTGTTAATTAAAAGTTTCTAGAGATTCTCTCACTAATTCTATGTTAAGTGCCATGGTTAAGTTTGCTGTCTCTACTAATCGAAACCGTACCGAAGCCGGCTACAATGTGATTGTGATTTTAGTGTATTTATCCCGTGGCCTCGAATACAACCGGACGTGTTGGCAGCTAGACCAAGGATGCCTCGACATCGTATGAGTACGGGACCGTTCCGACACGAGAAAAATCGAATCCCTGTGCTCTTGTAGCACAGGGGATACATTTTTAGTATGAAAATATAAGTCAAGTAAAATTTGCAGTGAGACTACTCTATAAAGATTATAAAATAAAACACAGATTACCTGAAAGTTTTTATTTACAATTTTACATGATAATTTAAAGAGCAGTTTGGTAGTCACGTATGTTGCGGTCCTGCAAGACGCAATTCGCGTTTAAGGTAACAATTCACAGTCGAAATTAAACTGCCGTAGAAATATACTACTGGACTATTGTACAATAAGAATTAAAACGAGCTCACAACCGCCAGACCGCCTGTTTCTCCGGCGTCTGACCATCGTTAGCTCTCGGCTTATTAATGAATTGCTAAGTCTGAAAATGAGGAACACTAATAGACTAGAACCGGAATGTTATCTACAAATGTTCCCTCTATAGATCTAATCTAAGTTGCTTTATCATAAAATTGCAAGAGAAAAGTTTCATTTAAGCAAATAATTCCAAATGAGATCGATTTTACCCTCACAAATTCTTACTGTAAATTCCCAAAAGCTACTCCGATTTTATTGTCACTGTAAAACCATAATATCTTTAGAACCATTCACAGAAATACGCTACCCTTTGTCATCATAATTACCTTTCCCCTAACTCTTAAAGTACCCAATTATAACATAGAACAAAAAATCCGACCACACTTTGTTCAAAACTAAAACCACAAAACATTACAATAGGGCTTTGGTCACAAGCTCATAAAATTGTCAGCACTCAAAGTTTTTCCTACGTTTTCCTAAATCAGTAAATCCAAACGCCCTGGCTCACATTGGAATTAAAGTTCAATTAAAAATAACGCATTCATTTAATCGTTCTACGTACACAAAAACATCACAGACAAAGCTAATTACTCATAAACAATTTTCCAAATTTTCTCACATTTTATAACAACTAAGCGTTCGTGTGCCAATAATATAAATTTATACCTGAATGCAACTTAATTAATAATTACAATAATTTTTAAAATTAGCTAACGCTGTCCCTTGGGGCTCATCGAAAATGGAAAATATTTTTATTTATATAGGCTAAGCTCAAATTCGGATCGCTTAGAGTTTAACTTTTCCGTTACAAATGTCTGTGAATAGCTGAGTCGTGACTGGCACGAACTCGGCTCCGGACCGGAAATACAGCGGGTCCTTAATCACGTCCGGGTCAAATCCTTCCTTTTGATACTGAATTTTCTTTAATTTAAAAGTGCCTGTAACACAAAACAACGGCGTGAGTTAGTGTACCCAAATAATCTATATTGCTGGACTATACCACATCTTTAAAAAACAAAAGCCATCCATCTAAACCATGACAAAATTAACTTAAAAGATAATTTAAAAATAAGAACTGTACATACTGGTGATCTCTATGTCTTTAGTGATGCGAAGGAAGAGTGGTCTAGCATAAGACGGCAGTGAATGGTCCACGTGGGCTGCCAACTGGGCTAAGTCCAGGGATAGAGCGGGGTCCGCAATGGCTGCCATTCCCGCGCGACCCTCTGTTTGAGGGATCTATAAAAAAAAACAACTTTTAATCATCTGATACTATAAAAATATAATTTAATCTTAAGTACTAAGTGACATATTTCATATTAATGCTGACAAACTCAAGTTGACAAAATATTAGAGTGAAATAAAAAACAAACTTTTTTTAATAAAATAAAATATACTATATTCTCTTTAAAATTTAAAAAAATATTTAGATTCGTCAAATTTTTTTTCGTTTGTCTGTATATTCGTCGTGTTTCTACAGAGTGTTCGAAAGAGCAGCAACATAACTGAGAAGAACACCCAAGAAACTCAGTCCGGCTTTTTTAAATATATCTTATAAACAAATTCATTTTTGTAAATGTATTAATAGGAGCAATTCATATTACTGCCAGGCGGTCTTGTCATTAAAGAAATACAATACGTTCAGACAATAATACGCCTTTTGAGACAATCTAAGTTTTATAACTTACTTAAATTTATTTATCGATAAATTTGAAATCTCGAATGGCAATGTATTATACATACGAATAATTCCCCGCAAATGAATTAGATATTTTATGGAGCCTATATTTGGGGATAGCTAGTTTATCCTTATTTCGTAAGTTCAAATGATACTGTCTATAGTTTACACGAGTAGGTAGTACACATTTAAATAAAACACTTTAACGGTTTAAAACGCGATGTATTAGTTAAACTTATTTGAAAATGATTTTTAACTAATATATCGCGTTTTAAACCGTTAAAGTGTTTTATTTAAAAGTTCAAATGATGCCTATCACTATTCTTGCTAAACTTGTGGCTTTGCTTTAGGAGTTGCCATTGTAAAAGTAAGCCTATATATTTGAAAACTTTATTATTTTTTACATGTTAGTGAATGAAGGCACTATATAATTTAAAAATCGAAAATAAATTGAAAACATTTTTTCTAGACTCGGTACCTCAATTGGTGGAGCAAACGGAATGACGATGCGGTTAAGTCCTGCCCGAGTCGTTTTTTTTTTCAATTTATTTTCGAATTATATAACTTGTTTAAGTATACTTATAAAGCTAATTTAGATTATGGGGTATCTGTAAATATATAAAAGTTTAAAATACTCACGGAAACTCCATAAACGACGCAGTCTCGCCGATCAAGAACGCTTCCGAGCGCGTCCTCCACTTCAGCCGTGGCGACATTCTCGCCTTTCCACTTGTACGTGTCACCAGTTCGGTCCCTGAAGAACAGATAGCCCAGTTCATCAGCCACCAGAATGTCTCCGCTGACAAACGCCGCGTCTCCCTTTGTAAACACGTCTTTTTCGACTTTTGTCTTACTGGCGCTCTGCAATTATAAAGTACGTAGAGTTAATTTTCAGATGTTGGTATTACACTAAGGCATAGTTTTAAGTTTTACAATCAAAGATATTACTTTCAATATAGGACGGCTCAAAATAAAATACGCTATTATAAAATCTATATCTGGTCTTGTCAAAAATGTTTAAATCTCTTTCGTTTATCTAATTGAATTGTGTAAACAAATGTATTTTCATAAAATATGATGACTCATTTTGCTCTTGCAACTATGTAAGAAATAAACAAATTTAAGAACGGATACTTTACATATACAATATAGATAAGTTTGTAACGGTAGGTAAATAAATGCTAGTTATTTAACAAACCTTATCAACGTAACCGTGATACGCCCTGGCCGCGTTCCGCTGAGAAATCAATCCGATGAACATGCCTGGCTCATCTGAAAAGCAATTAATTTTCCAAAGTTCAGTTATCATTTTTCAAATTACTAATGGAAAATAATATTCCGATATTCGTTGACTTAAACTTAAAAAAAACTTAAGTTTATTTTTAATAACGATATCTACAGAATATAATAGATACCTATTTTTAATATAACGATACTTGTCGATTCGCTTAAAACTTAGGAAAGCCTACTTATATGTATATATTACTTAAAACAAAGGAACACGTATCTATACTAATATATAAAGCTGAAGCGTTTGTTTGTATGTTTAAACGCGCTAATAAATGCGCTGAAAAATTCTATAAAGAAGGCTATAAAACATCGCCCTTTGACTAATACATGCGAAGATACAGCGAGAAATGTGAAAAAAATTCGGATAATTAAATTATCATTATGGGTACCAAGGCGTAACGCTGTATAAACGGTTCAAGATACCCAAAAAATATGTATGAAAGAATGATTCCTCTTTAGATGACCTAAAAAGTCCACGACGCTATCTTTTAAGATTAGCTTAAAGTGAAGGGACGCGAACGACGTCGTGGATAACAGCTTAGTTTATAAAGATTAAACGGTTTCCAAAAACGAAATTGGACGCTCAAAATAACGATTCTCGCGAAAGAAGTCGCACACACAGCTAGTGCACTCATAATATTACTAGTGACCCGGCAAACGTTTCGCCTTATAAATTGAGGGATTATCAACAGTGAAGGATCTGCAAGGTTACATTTTAAATAATATATTTTTCAAAATACTTCTTTTCCAGGGTTTAGCTACCAAATAATATAGAAAAAAACATTTGATAAATTTTTCCAATAGCCATTTTAATATTAGATCATTAGCAGTAGTTGACATAAATTAATTGGTAATAAATTATTCATTAACCAATTAACACTCATCCGTTAAGATGCTGAGTAAATGGATGTCCCGCTAGAATTTCACTTGAGTTCTGTTTAAAATAGAACTACATCTAACCGTTGTTAGTTACAAAAACAGCAGAGCAATGACCGGTTAAGTAGCTTTGTTTTCGCTTATAAAGGGTAATGTGGGATAGTTTTAAAGTGGGGCAGTGCAATGTAAAAATTAATGTGTCCGTTTCGCTCGTCCAATTTAATAAAATGATATAATAAGCCTTTTTTACTCTTTTCCTGTACTTCAGGCTGCCTGGAAGAAATCGCTGCTTAGCGATAAGGCCGCCTTTTATTTCTAAGTTAGTACGTAAGTTTAAATCTCATATAATTTCTGTCTTATGTATATATAAAAGAGAAGAGAATCAATTCTCTGTGTCCTATCGGACCGAATATGTTTTATGTTGTAGTTTTTACCATTGAAGTAGCAATGTTTCGCCAGTGAATATTTCGAAACAAATATAGCCACAGTGCAAGGAACCCGTGAGTCACAACTCAGACAAGTACTCACTCGGCTGACAGCGTATGCAGTAGCCGTCTGCGCCGCGGATCACATTTCCGGCTTCGTCAATCTTCACCAGGGCTATCGGGTGTAGGCTGGTCGGCACCAATTTGGGCAGGAATCCCACTGCGCCAACTGTGTTGTCCACGTTAACTGTGGAGAGATGGTATATACTTAGTACTGAGGAGTTTAGAAATTTTATTCAGAAAAACTACTCAAAACAAAAAATGTTTAAAAACTATATATATGTACTTTAAATATGGTTTGACATCACTCTATCTTTTCGTAGGTACAAAGGATAAAGCCTTTTGAAAACTATTCGACATACATACATTACACTGATACATTTTCATTTAAAAAGATTTTTTGATGTAAGTATTGCGATTTTAACTCCAATCATTTAAATAAAACACTATCGGTTTAAAACGCGATATGTATTAGTTAAACTTATTTGAAAATTATTTTAAGTACGGCCCAACGTTCCGGATACTTTGCAGCAGCCATGGGCAGGGGTCACGTAATATATATGGCGTTTTAAACCATCAAGTATCTTAATTAAATGTGTACTAGCGTAAACTACAAACAGTAACTCCAATCATATTAATTCAATCAAGCAAGCGTTTGAGCAGTCGGTAGATCTCCATGTTATTTGTCGGTTGCACTCGTTTACCCATATAAGTTGTACCAGATGTTAAAGGCGCTGATTGCTTCATACATATATTTTACATCATTATGCTTAGTCAGGCATCATGGTAAACATTCCTTTGTTGTGCAATTTTCTTTGTTCAAAATTGCTGCGTTCGCATAAATTTTACACATTTTAGGTCAATTTTAATTGACAAATAATCCCAATAAGTTTTAATAAAATAAACCAACAGTCATTCCTTAAAGTCTTTCTTTTTATTAATTATACTTTATGCAAGATATATTTACTTGTCTTCGCATTAATTACATTTAATATTAAACGTTTCTCCTCTCATAATTAATGACGTTAAAAAATAATCCTCTTGACAATATCCTCTAGTAGTGGTCGATGTATTTGGTTAGAATAATTTAGAGGCAGGGCATCAACCCCGTCCGACGTTTCTCTGAGCACAGTGTACTAACTGGTTGTTTAAAAATATCTTTCAAACACAAAAACAAAGAGAATTAGTAAGTCAGCATTACGGGTTATACATTTGATATTGTACCGGACGCGGCAATGACCCCATTCGAGGGACACTTTCCGTCGCAATTCACAAGCGTGATCCCAATTTTAATTTGTTATTTAATGCGCATCATAAATTCATTATAATTTTATGCTTATTTATATGTAAAGATTGAATTGACTTTAAATATTTATGGCAGGGATGGGACTCAAACCGACGATCACAGTTCAGTTGTGTCTGTGGCTCTATCAATTGAGTTAAAGACTCATTGTAGACTTTACTGTAAGAGAATATAATTTACTGTTTGATTTTATATCCTTTTATTTAATATTACATTTATATTTAATGAAATTTTCTGAAAGTTTATTAAAATTATGAAATGTTTATTGGATTTTTTTGTCTAGACTAATGCAATTAGTCATTTAAAAAAAAATGTACAATTTCATTAGCAGTCTGTAAATAGACAAATATTAAATATCTCTTTATACGCCATGAAAATCGTAAAATAATTATTGTAGTACAAAGTACGCGAATTATCTAGTACGTGATAAGGCCCAACTTAATGGGACACAGCAAATAGTTAGCACAATTGTAGATAATTGACTTACTAATATTTGCGTTGCCTTCCGTAGCTCCGTATATCTCGTTTATCTGAGGTACTTTGAACCTGTAAATAAATAATTCTTTTGTTATGATACAATTTGGATAAAAACACGTAATTAGAAAATACAACTACGCAATGAGTATGTTTCTATACCAATAAAGGGAGATTTCAAGTTCAAACGACATCTCGATCTATATCAAATATTATAAAGCTGAAGAGTTTGTTTGAATGCACTGAATTTAGTAACCACTTGCTCGATTTGTTATTTTTTTATCGTGTTGGTTGGACCAATTGGAGGAAGACTAAGCTATAAGCCCCAGGCTGCGACCCATAGGATAGGGAAATGTGGAAGGAAGGCGTAAATGATTCATCTTTGAAGGATTTCATTCAGTGCGCTGTGAAAACGATTCAAGAAACCAAAAAATACGGATGAAAGAACAATTCTTCATTAAATGATTTAAAATATGTCCGCGACAGTTTGTCTGTTAATATTAACTCTAAAAAGGACGCTATCTATACTAATATATAAAGCTGAAGAGTTTATTTGTTTGAGCGCGCTAATCTCAGGAACTACGGCTTCGAATTGAATAATTATTTTTGTGTTGGTTAGAGATTAACTTGCAAGAACGACGGGAAGGGACGCGAACGACGTCGTGGCTAACAGCTTAAGTTTATAAAGATGACGGGGTTTGCAAAAACTAATTTGAATGCCCAAAATAACGATTCCCGCGGACGAAATCGCTGAAACAGCTAGTTCTATATAAGCATATTCTTATCTATGTTAACAGGATCTTTTTAACCTAAGTATAGGTACAGTTTTAAGTTAGTTTAGAGTAGTAGAGTTCTTTAGCGGGGATGTTAGCGGTAAGTGTCAGACAACTTACATAACATCTGGAGGTAACATCTTATTATAAAAATAGGCAATTTATTGTAACTATTTTCGTGGACGGTAAGAAATGCAGTTGTGTTTTTACTAATATTATAAAATCTTATTTTAATTATTATAGATATATTGGACTTTGAATCACTTTCAAAATAGGTATAAATAATAATAATACACTTTGCACAGTTTTACTAGGATATATAATTGTTTAGTAAAAAGAAACAAAAAAAATAATGAAAGGGTTTATTTATTTTCAAAGTGATATACGAGTTTTGCATCTGGTCTATTCATCAAATAAAGTACAAATCTTGAGTGTTATGATTTCGTAATTTTTGCTCCTTTGTGAATTACTTGTGAAACTTAAAAAAATAAAAGAATTGGAAATGACAGTGTGTACATTAAAAATACATACCTATCTACAATCTGCTGCCAGATGGCTGGTCGCATCCCGTTTCCAACCATGATCCTGACCCGATGCTGCGTGTCCGTTGGCTTTGGAGGTTGAGCGAGGAGGTACCGGCACATCTCGCCTATGTATTGTGCAACCTGCATAACAATAAATTATGGTATAAGTATATACTATTAATTATTATAATTATAGTTTGTATATACTTATACCATCATTTATTCTCAAACTGTCTCTTTTGTGAGGAAAACCAAAATATATTTTAAGATTGCTGTTATAAATAAACGATTTTATTTATAAAACAAATAATTGATCTTTTTTCGTTTAACTTCTTGTCCGTCTTGTTTAGATTGGACCCATTTAGTATCCAGATTTGCAATGTTTTTAAAAATTTATAAACTGATTTCATAACATATTAGACTCCGTGAAGATCAAACTCAACACCTGTCAAAATCTTTATTCCAACCGCCTGTATGAATTATTCAATCCTGGTAAAACATGTAAATAACGTCCATCAGTAAGACAAACACATTTTTTCGCCCTTGTAATTAATACATAACTCTAAAAAATTACGATAAATTCAGTCACGTGAACAAAAATCGTGACGCCTGATCTCACGATTACATATTGTAACCATTGTTTTATTTGTTCCATTATACACTTGAAAAATATTGTAGCAAATATAGAAACTAGAGGAGGGCCGAGTGTGGTCGAACGAAACCGAATTTCGGCTCATATAGTATTTGTCCCATTCGGTTATAGAAGTGCACTCCCAAACTTTTTGGCCGGGCTGTAGTTAGCGCGGATGGTTTGCGAAGAACGCAAAAAGCAAGTATCCGTTGCGACAAGAGGGGTGCGCGGGTGCAGGGCAACTCGACTTTTTGCTTAAACTTGACAGTGCCCTGCGCAAGATGGCGTTCGCGCTAACTTCAGCCCGGCCAAAAAATATGTAGAACTGTACCCAATGTGAACCACGACAACTTGTACGTACCGTGCATTCGTATTTAATGCAATCGGTCCAATAGTTGGAGGCTGAGAACTTGGTTCGCAGCACAGAAGGTATGCCATCCACCACAGCGGCGGCCGTCCCCACCAGCCCTCCAGCCAAATGATACAGCGGCAATGGATTGTACATGCGGTCCTTGGAATTCAGACCCAGCATGTGGACTGTCGCCACCACAACAATCAGATACCTGTAATTTTTTAACAATATTGACTAACATGATTAATGAGAGCTAACAAAAGAGAGTCTAATACAAAGTACGAACTTATCAGTAATATTATTCTCAACGATAATTTTGAACAGGCTCGTTGGTCGCTAATAACAGGTCGTGGTTTCGATCCCTACCGGGCCCAACAGTTTATAACTTTTCTGAAACGCTGTGGTCACGAACCACAGTCCACAGATGAAAAAGTCGTCAAGTTTAATCTCGTTTCAGATTTTTTTAATATCCAAAGCGAAAATTGGTCGACAGCACATCTTGCTCAAATGTTATATGGCATTTCACCCAACATCTAGTGAATCTTATTGCTTGTCTACCCTCATCCTATCTTCATCGTAAAAAATAATCATAAACCGTAATAAACTGTTGAAAATAAACCAACTAACTTTGAGTTCTTCATCACAGCTGCTTTAGGCATTCCCGTTGTACCAGACGTGTAAATGTAGAGAAGGGTGTCATTGTACTGGGGCTTGTCAGCTACTTCTGGGTAATCAGGCGACTGCTTGTCCATCTCCGCGCGAAGGTCTGTCACCCCAGGAGCGCTTTCGCCATACAGTTGGAATCGCTTTATATCAGCTGGGAGTTCGTCTTTAATTTCTTTAATAGCTGCAAACAATCAGTATATTAATATTGCAAATAGATTTGAGTTATAAATGTAAACAAAGATGTCAATAAGGGCCTCATATGTTTATTCTTATTTTAGACCGCGCGTCTAATATCCATATATATTGCGTTTCAAACAGTTAAGTCTTCTATTTAATTAATACATGGTTATGTTTTGATTAATTAAAATTGTTTTAAGTCTACGACAACAATTTTAAACAGCAAAAAAGGGAGTCTAATTGTTCTAGAAAACCTTAGACATTGTAGAAACTAGAGTTAGTTAGATCTACTCTTGTGTTACACCAGTTCATATTTGAAATAAGGAATGTCAAAGAATTTGAGAAGTTAAATACCTCCAGCCAAACACTCCGAATAGACAATAGCCTTAGCGTTGGCAACTTGGATGCAATGCAGCAGAGGCTTGTGCCGCAGGTTGCTGTTAATCAGAGCGGAGACGACGCCCAGCTTCGCCATCCCGAGCCACGTGTAGACGAACTCAGCACAGTTCGGCATGAACACACAAACGACGTCACCGCGTTTCAGCCCCAATTGCTCCTGCATGACTCGTGACACCCTGTTTGAGTTCTCCGCCATCTGTCGACGGAAACATAACCCAGTCCCATATTACAACTGAACCAGATGCACTGTCGACCTATTTCGGCTCTGGTTATCCGGGATACTTGTTCGATTTTCTCTACATGCGAGTGTGCACAACTACCCGTAACATTTTTTGTTTTGTCGGGATCCGAATCCAGTATCTCTCATATTTATCGAAAAAATACGCAATGCATTACCAAGAGAGCTTTGAAGACGTGTAATAATACTTTAATACTAAATATATAAGTGACACAACAAAAGTGTCATAACATTGACTTAAGCGTTTTTAGAGCGGATGTAGGATTGATAGCAGTAATGTTTTTTTACAAAAACTACGCATTACTTATTATAACTTTACAATAATGAGAGTTTTATGCATATAACTAATAAAAGCTTTGCCTATGTTGAACAAACAAATTGCCTATAGTCGCACCTCTCTGAAGGTCCAAGTTCGATCCCCAACAACGAAAAAGCACGGCGCATCGGGCTGCTTGAGCGCCCGCTGCGTGAACAGCTCCGCTACAGAGGTGTTGTTGCGGGCGTATTTTGCAGTGCGAATCATAGCGTTCGCGTATCGCCATAGAAATCTGCAATATAGACGAATATTTAAAGTTTGAAGGAGTGATAAGACAAGAACCACATCTGTAAATTACTTGTGGCTTTGGAGAATGACAAGTATAGGCAAAAACAAACAGCAGTGCTGCTTCGGATCTTTTGGTGCTTTTTTTATAATTTTCTTAGGTATATATATCTTTTTTATGAGATAATTTTTACTTTTTTTATAATAAGCGCATGTCTATCAAATAAGATTTTATGATTCCCATAGTGTCCTGTGATTTCTACAAACATTTTTATAAATATCGTAGTTTAAAAAAATTATTCTCTTATTATTATTCTGGAGTAGTAGTAGTAACATAAGTAGCTTCTAAATTCTACTTAATTTTTAAGCATTTGTCCAACAGGACATATGCAAATTAGACTAATTAAAGCTTTAGAAGTAATCCTAACTAAGAGACGTATGGTATTGGTTTTTATTTGATATCACCAGTTCCAATTCTCACAAAGTTCATAAATCGATTTTGTGTCTCGTTAAACATTTACACGTGAAATGTGTCACATGTTTGAGAACAACCACGGTTAGTTAACCAGTGTAATCTTAGTTCTTATAAGGAAGGAATAAAGTTCAAATTATTTTCATCATAACATATCGATTTTAGCGATCGATAGCAAACACGCGCGCTCTACCTTGATTCAACGTGGTAAGTTTAGCCGCTTAAAACCAAATGCGTAATACTAGTGCACTGGGACAGCAAGTTATCTACAAAGATAAGGCATTTATCTTTCCGTTTTCCGTTGAATCTTGGGCACACCGATTCTGTGAAGATTTGCCCTAATTTTATAGTGATACAGCGAGAAGTCAATAACTTTGACGGTACGACCTACTAAAAGAGGCGCAAACAAATAATCGTCATAAGAGCTATCTAACTGTAAATTTGGAAACCTGACAGTACTTTTTGACGCCACTTAAGAAAACAAAATACAAAATATGGTACCGGTAGAAACGTAAGCGAATTTAAATAAATCTAGACGTAGGTACCAAATCCGGTTTGCAAAGGGCGCGATCGCCAGTGAATACTTGGTACATCGTTATATAATCCAATAAGATGTACGATGTGACATAACAAAGAATCTATATAGCAGCGAGGTCAGGGTATCAAGAAGATATATTGAAACAGAAAAAATTCTCAGCGCATCAAAACAAAAGCATAGCTGAGGCATCGCAAAACGTTTAGGAATTGAGTGGCGGTCGGTTGAGTAAAGTTCACTTCGAAAATAACCCAGCTAGCTACTCTGTGCGTAAACATCACCTGTAACAGTTTACATCGGCTATCTTTGTTGTAAGGAAAATAGAGTTGCGAGCAAATAGAGACTGTCAACTTCTATCAACATGTTTATTTATTAAAAACGCGTTAGCAACTGACTGAACAAAGAATCATCTTAGATAATGTAAAATAAAAACGAGTACAACTTGCATGCGATGAGTCAAATACTCGTTTTCATTTTTTACGCCATTTATCGAGACCTTGGCGCGTATAAATAGTCGGGAACGCAAGGCCCCGACCGCTGCTCCAAGAACCATTATCCAGGGCGAAACACATGTGGGGGCGATGGCACTTAGAGGCCATTTCACTGAGACCACAGGACACAAAGTTCAAAACCATGGATTGTATTGTGTAACGAAACTTAGGTAGCACGTAATTTAACCCTATTATAATTAATTTATACAATGTTTTCTTAACCCCGATTCGTCAAAATATTCAAGATTGCTTAACGCAAACGAAGATGCCATTGTAAGCTAATTCTTTTTAATTCTATTCGGGTAATTGTCCCTTCAAACGCTACAAATCCATATCTAAATTTAGGGCGACCAATGCCAGTGTGATTAAAACAAAGTTTTATAGTCGACACTTAGTCATAGTCTAATAACAGTTTAAAGAGAAAGCATGCAGTATTGCACCTTTAAAGTTAAACCAAGTTTAAATAAGACTTGTTTTAAAATTGAAAATTGAATTGTGTCTACTGCCAATTACTGTACGATAATTTTTAAAATATAATTGATATAAGCATGAATCCGTGTGACAGTTTCTCGAGACCAGTTAAATTAGACAAAACTAGGACACGTAGACTTTATTCACTTAGGAATTTATAGATCTAGATATTAGACCAACGCGTAGAGATACTATAATTTATCTTGAGGATAAAGGCAGTGATAGTAATAAGATAAGTATAATATCGTCTATTATAAACTAGAACAATGATATTTAGAATAACCACAGCCCTTATACGATCGTTGTTTAAACCTTTTATCACTTAGCGAATATTACGTAAAAGTTTTCGAGTTTAACATTTGAAACCCCTGGCATGCGGAAAGTTGGTTTCGATTGCTTACACTAACGCTGGAATATTGCCCACTTCATACTGCAGCGAAGCTAGTACAGTCAGAATTATCACTGCATACGAACAAGCTTACGCAGTACAAAATTCAGCATCAGCATTATATATTTAACAATTTTCAAACCTTACATGGGTATACTTCAAGAGACACGAGTTTCTCTACGTAAAAAAGATACTTCCACAGAAACAACGTGCTTAACTTAATAGATAAGTAAAAGATATGTATCCTAGTGCATTCACAGGTGTTTAAGTATGAAACAACCTCCCTATATAAAATTACTTCTATTTCCTTCCTTCCTTTCACGGAAAATGAAGAAAGAAGTTAAAAAACAGAGAAAAGTTCAACCTTATGAGACTCATAGTAGAGACTGCATTGTCAAAACTTATAGGGTTCTTGTTGACTTTAGTCGCTAGTTTCAATTTTGCATTTATCTTTATTCTGCTCTGCCTTGGCGCATAGCGTGTTATCGCTTAATCATAAGTAAGCTCTCTTTGTCCTGCACGTTAAGCGATGGAAGACAAAGGCTTATAGGGGCTTGTTAGCTATCTAACGATAGAATGGCAAGGAGCAACTGTCAAAGCGTGAACAATTAATGAGACGTCATAAATATTCAGAAGGTGTCTCTACATATACACACCATACAAAGAGATGTTAATTATAAGTTGATACTTTTTGCTTAGCAAGGCCGGAAACATTTTAATAGATAGAATATTTTATTTCTCCAAATTGTAATCATTTAAATTTTATAATCGGCAACATTGCAAAAACTATATTTTTTATTATGTATGACTAGATTATCTTTGATACTTGAGATTGTAAAATTTTGGTGAAAATAAAATAAAATCTATTTCCGTATATTAGGTACAAAAATACAAAAATATGTTAAAATTGTGCCATGAAATTTTACCTTATGTGTACGTAATATTTCCAATTAAGTAGTAGTGCAATTACATTAGGTATATTACAATACTCTACAACAAATGAGACATCAAAATACTGCTGATTTTATCAAACAACTTTTATTCAAATGAACATTAGAAATCGCTCATTATTTTGCAATTTAAAATTTTAATGGTAGATGGTTTCGTGGGTCTGTATAAATATAATATTCCTACTATATACTACTTTAAGACAACTTTTTGGCTATTTTAATATGCCAATTAAAGCCGAGCAATTCTCATACGTACAAACTGCACCATTGTTAAAAGAAACACAATAAAATATATTATTCTATGGACGACAATTCTAATTAGGGAGAAGGATAATTATATGCCAGTCAATTACACGGGAGCGATAGCTAGGTAGTTATCTAACTTTATATTGTAACTAAAGTACATAATAAAATATACAGTTTTAACGATTCGCCGACGCAGAGAACCGTATAGCCAAAAAACGGTAGATCGTTCTAACGAGCTAGACACGCACCGTGCAATGGGGGCGAAGCGGCTTTTCTTAGGTTATGTAAGTGTTTAAATGGTGAATACTCACTTGATATCCCTCGGCAATGTTTTCACGATCACATAAATTCTCTTCCTGTACCGGTACACACATGGTGCGATGGCGAGGATCGCGAAAATCGCCGCTTTGGAGAGCGTGCTCAACACGGCGGCCATCGCAGCGGCTAATGCCATTAGCGCGACGAGCGCTGCCAGCAGAGCGTCCATGCTGGCGACGAGCCCAATGGGACGCAACTATACACTGAGACCTAAACAATGAGCGCGCACGAACCGCGCGTCCGTCGGCTGCGAATGTCTCTTCCTAAATGCGCCAAGGACGTGCGCCCAACCGCTCGCCGCGTCAATGAATCCCTCCGACGCCAGGTGCACATGCGCGAACAGCTGATCCCCGAAGGGACCGCTTGGTACACAAACCGGCCTATCGCATGAAAATAATGTAAAACGCGTAAAAAAAATCGCCTATTGTGCACGAATTCGACTTGACGCCATGTCTAATGGCTGTTCTCAATTTGAATGTTTTCCTCTTCAATAACGTACGAAAGAGGTTATCGTTCTAAAATAATTTTGCAGTCTTTTACTTGAAACACGCTATTGATTTCTAGATGTGTTATTAAAAAAAACCAACCCCTATATATTAGTTTTAAAATATAAACTAGTCAGATTTACCATGAAGCTGTAGCACTCTTTATAACATATGGGGGCAGTAAGAATTAAAATTACTTATGTACCCTGTAATAAATACTAGGTACACAATTTTTGATTCAGTCTCTGTTGGCTTCCATAGTCATAAATATAAAAAAAAGATCCTGTGTATATTGTTTTACTTTTGCCTTACATACCCTTTGGATAGACCCAGGTTCATTCCAAATCCTAAAAGAAATAAATATATTAAAACTTTTGGGAGTCTATTGAATAAACTTATGTGTTTCATAAATAGTAAGTGCTGCAGTAGGCAACTGCTAAAACTATATATATTATAATATGTTACAGTAAAAGACAACGCTAAAAATATAAACTTTATTACATTTCCTAAATATCAACAACACCCTTAACCTTATCTTATCCTCATAAATATGTTTGCATCAGTCTTACAACCTGAGACTGGAGTAACAAATGGAATTTACAAAACAATGTAAAATAGCGTTTATTTTATAAGTTTATACATGCATTGAACTAGAGAAGTATATATGTTTTTAAAGGCAAAGTTTATTATAAAAATTTAATAAAAAAAAAATTAGTTTGATGATGAACCAACATCTTTGTACCGAAAGACCTTTTTTAATTATTTCAGTGCGCATATCGCAACGCTAATATAATTTACACATAAGATATATTCGCAATAACGAATCGTGACATGTAACACATAATATGTCTTAAATAGTCTTATATGCGAAACTGGCTTCGATAAATACCTTGTGTATAACAATTATAAAGAAGTATCAGACAAGGAATGATCAATATAGAATGCAATAATTATACCACCAAAGTCATTAAGAAAATTATAAGTAGGACATATGTTTTCGAGTACAGATAAAGTATATTGAAGAGTATTTATGGGATATAAGTCAGGGGCCTATCGCTGATAGACGTCTTGATGCAAAAATATAGAATATTCGAATGTCCAGAGTTAATATAGGTCGATGGTGTGATAAAAAAAAAAATAAGACTATATAACATCAGAAAGTCCATCTTTTCACCGTTCAAACACGTCTAACAGTAGATATTAAACCTATTATTGTAAATTGCTGGCATAGTTTTATTTTAAGCGAAAATATTTCATTATAATCACAAATATTAGAAGAATAATTGAGGTTCTTTTAGCATCACAACTTAATATTACATATTCTTCATTACAAGTTAAAAGCGAAATAAATAAGGTACAGTAGCTCGGCAAGAGCATCGGCACGAAAGCCGGCCACCGGATCCGACTCCCGCCTGCATCAGACCTTTACAAAACATATTTTATACAAACCACCCTTGGATGTTAACCACAATAAACATTTGGTAGTAATCGGTGTAAATTGTCTTTTCAAAATAGTTGCATATTTCCATACAACTTACTGTCTTGAAAATAAATAACTGAATACACATGAGAATTATTAAAACAGTCGAGTATTTAGTGGAGAGAGTAACGAGACACATTTACTTGCAAGATAGGAGTTAAAACTTAGACAAAATTTAATTCTATTCACAGTTATCCCTTGCCATATGTTATTTTACAACCCTTAACAGATATTAAAGCTCACTTACTCTGTGATTTGTAACAGTGTGACCGAAAATTCCAACCAATCACAGCAAAGTCGGAAATGAAACAACCAATCACAGGTCGCGCATAAAAACTATCGATTGGTTGGTGAAAACGTTCCTAAACCAAGAATAAGCAATTCATTTGCTGTAATTTACAATATTATTTTAGAATCAGATAAAAATCACAGCCTAATCTTCCCATTATTGATTTTCTCGTACTCCTCAAGTCCTAAGGGTATATATTTGTTCTGTTTTAGATCTAAGAAATATAGTTTGTCGCCTTTTGTTAGATTTGGATCGAATCCTTCCTTTTGTAAGTCGGTTTTCTTCATTTTAAATGTTCCTGCAAGACAAAAGACATTGTTAGGTATTTGTAGAAAGAAACATTATTTTTGACAATAATATTATATAGGCTACAAGGGTCGGATATATAGTGTCTTCTCCACAAATCATTCTTATAAAGTCTTGCTTTATCCTTGGAGACGACAAAGGCAAAAGTGTGGAAACATAATCACTATGACTTTGGCAGTCTGTTTTTGTATATTCTACTGTAGCTATAAAGCTACTAGATAGAGTTTAGTGGGGTGTAGATTATATTGTTGTTTTAGGAACAACTATATGAACTTTGGGAATATCTTATTTAACTTATTGGCAGGTCAAATACCCCAACCATGGACTATCTAGCCAAGATGCGCTGTCGATCTATTTTGACCTTGGAAACCGAAAAACGATTCACAGGTGGATCGTGACCCGGCCGGAAATTCGATATTACTACCACCACCCTCCATTTAATATTTCCAGACAAAACCAACATGTTTCAGAAAAATGATAAATGGATTACAATTATGTTGACCCGTTGATTACTAGCCATACATTGTTACTATTACAATGTCATGTCATTACCTGTCATGTCCATACTGTTCATAACTCTGACGAAGACGGGTCTCGCGTACGGCGGCAGGTCTCTAGCCAGGTCTTTGGCTAGTTTTTCCAAGTCTAAGGACCCGTTGTGATCCACGATACCGCACATACCAGCTCGACCCTCAGTGTTAGGAACCTGGTAATATAATAAGGACATGCTTACATATTTCGTTGAATTCAAACAACATTGAGAAGAGTCTAGTCTATGTTAAATTCAGTTTCCCACTTAATTAATTAAATGGGCACAGAAGACATTTCTGTGACCATTTAATTGATCTGTCTTTTTTACAGGTAAGTAGTTGATCAGCCTTCTGTGCCCTGCCTGACCGAAACAATATATTGTTTCACCCGGGATTCGAACCCAGAACCTCTCGATCTTTAGGCGATACGTTTAACCATTTAGCTATAGAAGCGGTCTTGGTTGATGGAGGAGAGTATAAGGGACATTACTTTTTTTAGATAACAAGAACTTATGAAATATGAAAACGAAACCCAAATAATAAGTTTTTTGGTTTTATTTTTTTACAAAAACTCGACGTTTTAGATGCTTTGCAGCAGGTGATGGTAGTAGGTCCTCACTACTATGATCCCCAAAAAATATAATTTGAAATAATATGACTGTCATTGTCTGTTAATATAAATCAATCTACGCGTTGAAATCTACACGCCTAAACGAAATTCGGAAACATCTTGCAGTTACAAATAATTCGTATTTTGTAGAAAAGTCCGCGACTTTTATTATTATTAAGTAACCGAGCACGTTGGAGGCATGACACTAACCAAAACACCATACACAACAGCATCTCTATGGTCAGCGACGCGAGATATGGCAGCCTCAACTTCGCTGGTGCTGACATTTTCCCCACGCCATCTGAAGGTGTCGCCCGTTCGGTCGCGGAAGTACAGATAACCGAACTCGTCTGCTACCAGAATATCACCTGAAGACAGAAAATAAATAATATTAACTAAAAGACTAACAGAGCTTTTATAAAAATGTCCTGTTACTGTCCGATTCTATATCAAGAAACAGACAAAAGTTAACATTAATATAACTAAGCTTATATTAGGGGAAATGGGTGAAATGGTCAGCTGATAATGTGGACTGATCACCCGTCCTACCACAGGTGTCCCCGAAAGAAAATAATAAAAGCTTATATTTAATAAAAAAAACAATTATAAATTGAAAATAATTACGACTCAGTCAGGGCTTGAACCGGCATCAATCAATTGTGTCAAGCTCAAATTGTTAGATCCTTGTAGATGCCGGTTCAAGTCCTGCCCTTTCGTATTATTTAATAATGTATAATTGATTTTTAATTGATATGGTGCCATCTTGTGCAATAACATGTGAAACATTTTATAGTTTTTAGCTTTCATTAGTAAACTTCGATAGATAGTATGACGTTACCTAGATTTGTGTTAAGATGAAAAATAACAGTAATTTTTAACGAGAATTTCTTTGGGTCAACAGTTTTTTTAGTGTTGCCCAAATTCAGTTTGGTGGTTGGTGCTTGGTTTTGAGACCGACCAAGAACAAACCGCGTATTTTTAGCAAGACCAAGACCAAGACTACCGTGCAAGACTTGAGCAAGAACAAACATAGCCTGCAGACTCTTGCGTCTTGAGCTAGGACTTAGCGTATTCACTGAGTAGTTAGGTGTAACAGTTGGTGTTAGGTAGGTAGTTAGGAATTCTATGAGACGCAAAAAACTGTATCAAAGAATATGAAAAACTGACTATGCGATTACGACTAATACCATAAATAGCAATAATTATTAAAATCAAACTAGGATGAAGTAGTTTTAACCATCGGGCTTTGATAATGGGATCAGGTTTTGTATTACTTCTCAAAGAAATTTGTTTTGGATAATGGTATTAGGCGGCGGTTCTTTTGAAATCTAAAACAATCTCCGCCGCCGAAATCATAAATTTGACACTATTGATCCGCTAGGGGTAGGTATATCATGAAAATAGTTTCGAATTTTTTTAAGCTTTATATTATTGTTAAATAGAAAAGGTTAAGTGATGAGTAGCCAAATGGTTACTTTGTATTACTTGGTCAAAAAAATGGAATAAAGTATCATAACCTAATTAAAAAGTATTATTTAATTAATTATTATTATAAATCAAAATGTTTATTAAGAAACAGTTACTTCATGGAAAACAATTAGGTGTTGATTTTTCGAATTTCTTATCACTTCTATTTATATGTGCTATATGGTATATTCATTCAAGCGCACAATTTCCAATTCTATTTTTCTAGGATTTAAAGTAAACTCTATAAATAGTAATAGACTAATAGGTAATTGAAGACTTGAAGACTCTTGTAAGACCAAGACAAACCAGACTGAGGAAGACCAAGACCAAGACCAAGACCAGGTGTATTGGGCAAGACCAAGACCAAGACTGGTAGTCTCGTTGTTTTGGTTTGGGCAAACTAAGTTTTTTATCTTTTTTGCCTTTATCTAACTAAACAAACGCAATCTCACCAGATATAAAAGCTGAATCTCCATGCGAAAACACATCCCTGACAACTTTCTTATCAGAAGCGGCCTTGTCGACGTATCCGTGGTACTCCCGAGATGGGTTATTTGGTGATATCTTGCCGATGAATACACCCGGCTCATCTGGTCCTGCGACCTGCAAAAAAACGGGGAAATATTAATCGGAAATATGAAAGAATGATTTGTCTTTAAATGATCTAAAAATCTGACATTATACGTCTATCTTTTAAGATTAACTTGCAAGAACGTCGGGACGCGACAGGCGTTGTGGGTAACAGATATAATGTATAAAGATGAGGAGATTTGCAAAAACAAAATTCGATGCCCAAAATAATTATCCTGCGCGGTCGTTTAATGCTAACACAGCTAGTGTTAATTAAAAGTTACAGAACTTGCTTTTCTAAATCTATCTAAATTATTTATCTCTAAATTGGTCTCGTTGTAATTTATCATAACTTGACTTTTTCTTGATGTATCGAGATAACGTTAGCCTCAATACTTTAAAACATTATCAACAGAGACAATGCACTACAATTCAAGTGCTTTGTGTAACACAATATCTTGCAAAACAAAACTCTATGTATTTAGAAAGAAGGTTCAGAACGCAAGGTCTGCGTTAAGAACAAAGATTCATTGTATATTTAAAAAATCACATCTGTGTTTAACCCGTGATCTTTAGAATAATCAAACTATGTAGAAATAAAAACGTCGCGTTATTGTCTGATAAAGTGTATGGTTTAAGCATGATGTCAACATATCCTATAAGGGTCAGTACGTCACAGGAATTTCATGATTTTTTGAACCCCCCCCCCCCCGTCCTTGTCACAGGTGGTCACATTTCTGAGACCCCCCCTCCCTAGTGTGACGTCACATGTTTTGCAATTTCACATTGAAAAATTATTAAATTAAAACAGCAGTTCCGAAATTAGTTTTATTTCGTTATTCGATAGAGTTGGAAATATTTTTTAGTTTAATTAATATTTCAAATCACGCGATTAGTACCTCTAGATACATTACATTTTAAAATGTGATGTCACGAAACTTAGGACCCCTCCCACCCCTTGTCACACCATGTCACACTTTGTCGACCCTTTACGTGTGACGTACTTTATGGATGACCCCTAACCTATAACCTTTTAAATAAAACACTTTAACGGTTTAAAACGCGATATGTTAGTTAAACTCATTGGGTCACGGCGAGACCATCTCCCCTTGACCACGGCTGCTCGAAAGCATCCGAAACGTCGGGCCGAAGTTAAAAATCATTTTCAAATAATTTTAACTAAAATATAGCGTTTCAAACCGTTAAAATGTTTTATTTAAATGTGTGCTACTCGCGTAAACTATAGACAGTATTTAATCTATAACCTTATCTTGAAGTTAGGAATAGGAATATTAGAACATTAATTAGATTAAGGTAGGTCTCAGACGAGGAAACTCTTTATCACCCAAACTAAGTAATGCATTTGATTAGTTTCCACGTGCAAAACCGAATAAATACATATACAAAATATTTATTTTATTTGGCGCTTTGAGTCTCCGTATTTAGTAATAACTTTAATTAAAACACTTCAACGGTTTACAACGCGAAATGTAATAGTTAAACTTATTTAAAATTGATTTTAACTACGGCCCGTAGTTTCAGATTTGTAGCTGCCTTGATCACGTGGAGAATTTTCAAATAAGTTTAACTCCTATGCTTCGCGTTTTAAACCGTTAAAGTGTTTTCATTAAATATACACTGCTCGCATAAACTACAGACAGTAAGTAATAACTTTAAATCGCGGAATCATGGAAGCAAGGCAGTGATAATTTTAAACGAAAAACAAATGGTATGGTATGGTATACCTGGCACAACCCTTGGGCATCACGAATTGGTTCTCCCGTCTCCTGGTCCACTTTTATAATAGCGATCGGATAAACTGATGGAAATATTCTCGACACAAATCCTATCGCCCCTGGAGTACCATCAGTGTTTGCTGTGAAAATATCACACCTGTATTAGACCAAAACGAGCATGACACCGTTTGTCATTAAAATTGAGGACAGATATAAGCAAAAATGACGTCAAAATGTTTCTATTTTTTTTGACTTCCCGCAGATTTATTATAGTCATCAGAAGTGGGATAAAAATCTCTATTATTTAATATTCAGTCAATCTTCATTTTGGCAAGTTAAAAAAATAGAAAAAGATTAATTATTTTATTAATTACTCTCATGTCTTTGGAGAATTGGCGAGATAGCGAGGCATAGTATTTTTCAGTAGTTATCTTCCTTACTTACCAATATTAGCGTTTCCTTCAGTCGCCCCATAGAACTCGGTCACGTACTTAATGTTGAAACGAGTTACAAATTCGGTCCAAATCTGTAATGAGCAATGACCACGTCAAAACGTGTTGAGTAATTAAAAGGCCAATGACCAAGTAATATTCACTATATCAGCAATTTAAGGTTTAAAATTTAATTAATCAAGGATACCGTCAAAATTATTTTTATTTTTTGCTACATCACAAATACAATATTGTTGTGTAGTTTAGTGTGTACATCAGTGTAGTTTAAATTTAAATTTGTCATATAGAAAGCTGAAGAGTGTGTTTGTTTGAAGGCGCTAATCTTAGAAATCACTGATTCGAATTGAAAAAATATTTTTGTGTTGGTAGAGCATTTTTCGGGATATCGGCTATAAAGAGAGAGACAAAGGAAAAAGAGATTCAAGAAACCAAAAACTATGTATAAGAGACTGATCTTCTTTAAATTATTTTAAAAAAATCCTTGATGCGTAAAAATTAAGAATATGATACCAAAAATGGACTGTGGGTACATTTGAAACCCAAATAATAATATCACTGATAACTTAAGACATCGGAATGCTTCGTCATTTTCTACACTGTTTACCAATTCATACGAATCGTGGGGTGAACTACAATTTGACCCGTAATACACACATACACTTTCATGAATTCGCATGAGAAAATACAAAATTGTACGATAAGTTATGCACGTATGTATATCAACGGCTAAAGTTTCTTAGTATCTGATGTAAATAATTACATGTGATACAAAGAAGTCATATAAATGTCAGTTTTAAAATTGTATTAATGTAAATTTAGCTTTAGCAACAATTTTTTACCTGTCTACGTATATACGTTTTTATCAGAGAGGATAATTAAAAAAATAAACCGAAAAAACAGATGTACGATAAACACAACCTTCGTTGTGTTTACCCGGTTAAAGGCTTCTAGAATGTTCGGAGAAGCATTTATCGAGAGCGTGCGATATTTGGCGCCGTCGGACAATTATGTAAATGACGGTGACGTCATCGTTACCTGCGGCCTCAGTCCGTTGCCGAAAACGACGCGCACGTTGTGCTGTTTGTCGGCCGGCGAGGGCGGCGTGGCCAGGATGTAACGACACATCTCGCCTATGTAGTGGGCTGCCTGTAACAATGTTTCTACATGACATATAATTATATACCTTCATAGATATACTAATATATAAAGCTGAAGAATTTGTTTGAATGCGTTAATCTCAGGAACTACTGGTGAAAAAATATTTTTGTGTTGTGTAGAGCATATATTATCTAGAAAGGCTAAAAAAATATCTTGCTGCGAACAATAGTAGCAAATAAACAGCTGGACATGTGGAGAAGAAGGGGGAAATTATTAATTTTTATGAGTTTCCGATGCGTACGCCGCGAAAACGGTTCAAGATACCTAAATAAATGTCCATCTTTTAAGATTAACTTGCAAGAACGACGGGACGCACCGATGTCGTGGCTTGTTACGCATAGAGTAATAACTGAGTTTTGTTTAAATAAAACTAATTCTGTTTAACAATCTTTGTTATTTTCTGATTTCTATTCTTTTTCTATTTATTTAACTTATTTACATACATCATTTTTCATTAAAACTAATTAACAACCGTCTAGCGGTTTATGCGTATGCGTAACCATATGTTCTCCAATACCTTTCATTATAGAAATCGAATTAATGAATACTATAATTATTCGTATAGTATAAAATAATTAAGTTACGCGATTGAAACTTGTAAATTCGAGATAACGGGCGCTATAAATAGTACTTAAATCAATGTGGTTGTAATTGGATGAGCTGGTAACCGGAATAATACGTAATGCATGCAAATTTTACTCCACTTTTAAAAACATGGAATAAATTTGTCGTCACTGCGCGGTATTTCATTTAATCACCTAGTTCAGCTTAGGATTACGTCATTATTTCGATTGATAAGAATTTTGATTAACCTAACCCTGCGCGTTTGCGCAGGGTTAGGTCAATTCAACGGTGTAGCCCTAGCACGAACATTTTGACGTACGGTAATGTACATACACGAGATTACATTCTTGATGTTTACGAGAATATTATACATTTAAATAAAACACTTTTAACGGTTTGAAATGTGAAATTTTTAAGTATTATCGCCCTCCGCCGCACCAGCTGCAAGGCATTCGAAATTGAGGGTGATTAAAATAAGTTGACTTAATACATTTCGCGTTTTAAACCGTTAAAAGTGTTTTATTTAAAAGGCGTTGATCTTATTCTAAAATCAAAGTGCAGTTTTCGTAACTTTTATCTATGTTATCAGTCTCTGTTATGTTTTGAACGTGTTACTATTTACTTACCGTTGCTTTATACTTCGCACAGTCAGGGAAGTATTGCGACGCCGAAAACTTCGGTTTGAGTATGACGGTGCAACCGAAGATTAGAGCTTGACCCACACTCACGATGCCCCCAGCAGTGTGGTACAATGGTAAAGGACAGTACACGACATCCGAAGAGTTAAGTCGCATGTGCTGCATGCCCGATACCATAAATATGAACCTAGAAAAAAATTATCGCATTGATAGACATTTTCCGAAAATCTAAACATTGGTTAGTGCGTTGTCTTCGTGGCGTATTCTTTGCTATTAGTCATGGAAATGAGTGGAACTAATTAATAGATTATGTTAATTCTCAATACCAGTGGTATTAATTTTGTCACTTCGTTCAGGACAAATCATTTGCAATATATATTAATATTAAAAAGCTTAAGGTTTGTTTGTTTGAAACTACTGCTTCGAATTGAAATATTGTATATTTTGTGTTGGTTAGGCTATCGAAAGGCTTTAGGCTAAAAACATCAGGCTACGAACAATAGGGGGGAAGAAACAGGGGATATTGTAGGAAAAACGGGGTAAGCTATTTATCTTTGAGGGAATCTGTTGCGTGCGCTGCGAAAACGTTTCTAGAATGTTTGTAGAACGTAAAAATTTGTATGAAAGAATGATTTTTATTTAAAAGATCTACAAATGTCTGTATCAGTAGACATTAAGATACACTAGCGAGAACGACGGGACGCGAACGACTTCGTGAGTCCCGGGTATCAACTGTAGTTTATAAAGCTGAGGAGGTTGTTTGCAAAAAAATCCACGCAGACGAAGTCGCGAACACAACTAGTTATTTTATATTAGTCATGGGAATGCGAAAACTAATTAATAGATAAGTAAATACAAGAGGTGTTATTTTGAAAATTACTACCCAATACAGAAACACATCTTTCATTAACTTTGTCATTTCGTTCAGGAAATCTTTTGCAAAATCAAAATTTGCTATGTACACTACAAACATAAAATAGAATATATTGACGTGTTTTCTAAACAAAACAAGATAGAACAGGTTACAAAGTCAAATAGCTACCGACGCATAAAGTATTGTAATTATAGGTAATTAATAACCAACTCATTATATTTTTTATATACCACACGTACATATACCATGTATATACCACATGTACGTATGTACATTGTCTCAAAATAATTAGAAGCGTAAAAAAATCGATTTCAAATGCATTGAAATGTCGAAAATACGATGAGCTGTATCTATTTTAAGGGGAAAGGTTATTTTTTCACTAAACTCATTGTATCTAGAAGGTATTGTGTTATTTCGCTTCCTTGTTTGAGTTTAGTAAAAAAACATCATCTGTTGATAACGAAGAGTTTCGATCAGGAATTATAAATATATTTAATAACATATAAATAAAACACTTTAACGGTTTAAAACGCGATATATTGTTTTTTGCATTTCCAGCCCGTCTGTTATAAATACTGTCTGTTATATATATATATTCAATAATAATATAAATAAATTGGGAATTTTTGATGTAGTAGAATTGTTTTTTTCGTCACGCGCGATTTTTAAACAATGGTGACATTTTATTATCTTAATTTGAAATATTAACTTAATGAAAAATTTTAAGATTCTTTGTAGGTACTAATAATTTAAGGGGAGGGGGTGCTCCCTCACTAGTATCACCAAGGAGAGGGGGTTTAAAAATTCTCAAAACAGGTCACTTGATTAAGGACAACCCTTAGGTTTTGTAAGTATATTTAGTAGGCGCGAAAGGCTATACAATTAATAATTTAAAATTGTGAATTGTTATTTACGCGATAAAAAATCTTCAAAAATTGTACCTAAGTTTTATTGTTGTACTTATTTCAATTAAATATAATAACAGCAAACTTTTACACACGCGTCATTAAATTTCAAGGGCTTACCTTCAAATCAAGGCTTTAAATAATTATGAACTACATATTTTAATGTTATAGGTATTTAATGTTTTCAAAAGTTTAAAAGTTCTTTTAAATAGTTATATTATTATTTCGATTATCATAAGTATTTTGAATGCTCTTTAAGAATATCCAAATCTTTAATTTCATAGACTTTTGTCGCGTTTTCATTCAGTAGAGTCGTTATATGTATGTCCTACTAAATTAAAGCCATAGTCGGTAAATTTGAGAAAGTCCAATAAGAAAGGTTGGTAGTGAAAGTTGAGTCGCGAGCGCAGTGCGCTGTGCAATATGTAAGACTGCTTGAAATTTGAAATGAAATTTATTTCAAAACTTAAGTTAAGGTCTTTAATTAAAATTAAATACTATACTCTAGTTATTAGTGGTAAAATGACGACGCAGTATGAACGTAGGTAAAAACGATTAAGTAGGTAAAAAATTAAAAAAATACCTTAACATATTATCATTGTATAATCCTATTTTATTTTATCGAATGAATAAAAAGGGAGATATTTTTAACGTTAACATGTTTTTACTGAAAGAATCATATTATAAAACGCCTTACTATAAACTTAATTGACTTCTTCTCATTTCCGTATTCAATATTAAAAACTTATGTAATTTCACAAAACCTATTCATGCTAAATAAAAATAAGGATTGGTTTTGCGATTTGGGCGTGAAAACACAACACACATACTAAGAATATAATACGCAATACCTCATATTTGATGTGTCAAAAACGTTTTTGGTTTAAGAAGAACCATTTTAAACATATTGACAAGTCTACCCCACGCCCCAGTTTGAAAAAATCCATAACATTTTTTTATTATAAAAATTTTTATTCGCTAGCGATAGACACTTACCTAGAGTTAGTAATAACAGCTGCTTTCGGCAGACCTGTAGTTCCAGACGTGTAGATGTACAAGAGTTTTCCCTGGAAGCCATAACCATCAGCCTTAGTCCATGGCGCTGGTGAAGTGGATGCCACAAGGTCGGCGAAGTCAGGAATTCCATCTCCACTCGCCTTCTCGGGTTTTGGAGAGTTCAGAGGACGTTGAGTGAATTTAAAGGCCTTGATTTTGGGATCTAGCTGTCCAGATACCTCTTGAAAAGCTGAAACAAAAGTAATTTTGAAAAATCTAAATTAAAAACATGAAAAATAATCTCAGCTTGTTATATGCTGACTAATAAAATATGCTTTGATCATTTAATTCATACAAATATATACTTACTTAAATAGTATTTTTAATCACTTAACAGAGGATTGATTTTTTTGTTATAATCATAATTTTATAATTTTTACAACATCTCTCATTATATTTATCAAATGTTTAAAAAACTCCAAGGACGATAGATCCTACTGTTGCTAATACAAATAATTCAATTAATTAAAAACCAAAGTACATTTTATTCAATAAAGACTCCATTGAGTATGAAATAACCGCATATAGCGATTAATATGCGAACATTTGCAAAGTAATTGTGGGGATTTAACACAACGTGACTTCGTTGCATAAATATTAGCGTTAGCCATAACGTAACAACTTACCTGACAAGTATTCGTCGGAAAATATAAGGGCGTCGCACTTAGCCACTGTGACCGAATGGATCAAGGCGTTGCCGCGTTGATTGGTGTTTATTAGTGGGCAAATGGCACCGAGACGAGCTGCCCCCAACCATAATGCCGGCATTTGAGGGCAGTTGTTCGTCAAGAGACCGACAATTTGTCCCTTTTTGATGCCCTGGTTCTTCAAGACAGCCGTCACTCGTAGACTGTACTCTTCCACCTTTGAGAAATTATATGATTATTTAGTAGGGGAAAACACACATCTGCGCTATTGCTAAAGGCTTAACATGGTCATGTTAGGTTCAACGACAGCAAGAAAAATATTGTTATATTAAATCTTTTTAATACTTCCACAATATCTGATATATGTATAATAATTGCAAATAAAAAATATAAAAGTTATTTTAAGATTTCAAAGCAAGAAGTATTTTTTGTTTGCAATTATGACCAGGTAAAGACAGATTTAATAAAATAAAATTTTATTTAGATTAAGGCGTCATTTGCTATAAATTGTAAAAAAATATGTTTCAATTACTTATAATATTAAAATTATACTCTAAAATAATGCAAGTCTTTGTAGCCGTTTAGAAAACTATATAACAAAGAAATGTTTAAAAAAAATTAAATTTGTTTCTGCGTGAAAATATTAATTTTTAATAGGAGATTAGTCTTTTTTCACCCAACTACTTGGAAACACAAATGTATTTATGAAAATATTTAGTATTGATGATATCTTGATTTTTAATGCATAAAAATGCCTTAGAGGACAGATAAGGTTTTATGACTTTTGAATAACAAACCTCTTTAAATGACCAAACTTCATCTTGAAAATAGAAGCAAGTTTTATTAGGATTTCTTTGCACAACCTCATGGAAAATGTCAGGAACGGTTAAATTGTTTCTAGAACACCTCCATGCCAAGAGTAACACTTTCACATAACACCAGAGAGCCCTGAAAATAGAACTTTCTTATCAATAGTTCCATATCCATTGTCTGTTAATCTCTTTTCCTTTGTAAGTATATTTATAACTGTTAGTGATAACAACTTAATATAGGTATAAGGTATAAAGAGAATTAGCTACTAGCATTTTCAATTCATTTTCAAGTAGGATTTGAAAATATGTTCTGTGTTTTGCAGATCTCAAAAAATTGAAATATTCTCTATCTCTACCTCCTAATACCCATATAACAATAAGTATTTAGATAATGTAGAAGATTCGGACCTGCATAATTGCTATCTAGAATTTACAATTTGAGTATGATAACATATAGCTTCCAGCAGTTTCATTATCAAACAAAGTTTTAAGATCTTTTAATGAAATGTAAATAGGGTGTTCTACTTATAGTGTGATTGATTTAACACAGTAAGAATTATCTGCTATATTTTTTTAGGTCATGATTTAAAACAGTGTAAAGTTCGTTCCTTTCTCAGTATATTTAAGTGTAACAAGGAAGAAGATTACAAAGTCCAAAGTGATTTGAGGATAGTTACAAAGTAGCATTACCTTAAATCTCTGGGAGCTGTTTTTATGGCTATGTAACACCATCTCGTGTGGAAAACCAGATGGTACACCACAACACCGACGAGAAATATAAATGTTGATAGTAACAATCCAAGGTATTGCCACACCGCGACAAACGCCACGGCAGCACCGAGTGCCAACAGCATCGCGACAGATTTTCGCAACGACACACGGCTAACTGAACCGCGGAAATAGCGGAACCGTCGGAACAGTGTGGTTATAGGAAATTGCTACGTAATTTTAACCCGTTCCTTTCTAAAGCGAATATACAGCTTAACACGTTTCTGCAATTCAATTTCGGAAGGCGTTAATCTTGTTACCGTGCGTGCTCCTAGAACCAAATTTTTACTTAATCAATAATAAAAAAAGCCATTTAAAAATTATGTTGAAATTAAATTGCACATATCACAATGTTCAATTCCTATCAGATTTTTGTTTGGCCTATTTTAGTAGTAAACACATTGATATCTGTTATGAATTAATGTCAATCTCATTTAAAAACTGACGTCTGACATCTAAATTAGGACTTGACAATTGACATATAAAAGAAACGTCAAATATAATATGTATCATTATATTAATCTCAAATTCTCAGTACAACGTTAGACTTTTTTTTTTAATGTCAAGTTAAAAAAAAGATAAAGTCTAACTGGGATATTTCGCTTTGTCGTCGCAAACCCTCAAATATGCTTGAATAGAATGTTAAGAAAGTCTTAAAAAAATAATATAGCGTCTTTATTGAAACTATATATATTAGCTCATTTAAAATTAAAAACATTAATATTTTTAAATTTCTATTTATTTTTATACAAAAATATATTAAATCATTTTACTAGCATCCGTAACTTGAGCGAGTATTGCAATTATTATTAAAATATAAGCTATCTAATCCTCCTTAGAATCTCACAATACGCTTGTAAGTAGAAAAACTATAACAACATTACTGTAAATTGCTGAGCCATCGCGGCCATTTCGCTAAGCTTTTTGGCTATTTTAACATGTTCGGCCGTAATTAATAAGAACAATAAATACGATGGCCGAATAGCAAGCAAAATCCAAAAAGCTATGCAATATTGCTGTATTTCCTAAACAAAGGTACTTGGCTTATTTTTTTATCTTAATGCTAATTGAGCGCCTATAATAGATGTATAACGTTACTTAGATATATGTATAGCCACAATACTCACTGGATAGGAATAGGTATCCCCCCCCCCGGGGGCCCCCCCCCCCCCCCCCCCCCCCCCCCCGCCAACTTAACAATCCTGTGTAAATATGTTTCATACCAACAAGCATTTTAATTAAAACATATCTAATAAATCTATTATTTAAAAGTTAACTACTTATATCTATTTATACAATAAGGCACTTATAAAAATCACAGTCTTATTTGCCCAGAATTAATCTTCTCATACTCCTCTGGGCCTAAACTAACATATTTGTTTAGCTTCGGATCGAAATAGTACAATTTGTCTGCTATCGTAGATGGATTAAATCCTTCCTTTTGTAAGTCCACTTTCCTTATTTTAAATGTCGCTGAAATAAAAAAAAGTAATATCAATACTGTGGGTACATAATACTTTCTGAGGAACTTGCGTTTGTGTGGTTACTAGTTCGATAGATTACTAAAAAGATCGCGAGTACACCTAATGACGGGTGCATATCTTATAGCAAAAAAAATCGTCATTGCCCATCTTAGGAGCCCTGTGTCTCAGAAGGAGTTGATAAAGATAAAGATGAATTCTTTCTGTAACCCAACTTACCAGTCATGTCCATGCTCTTCATAATCCTAATAAAGACAGGCCTGGCATATTTGGGCAAGTCTTTTGCCATGTCTGTCGCGAGTTTATCCAAATCCAAACTACTGTCGGTATCGACTATTCCACACATACCGGCGCGTCCTTCGTTATTCGGGATCTAGAATAAGCATATTTTGGTTATAACTAGACCAAATTATCCGATGTGAATATAATAATAGAATAGTACTTGAAACTGAAATAATCATTTAAACATTCAAGCGCCACTACTTTTAGCGCCTGTTTTTTTTGCTTAATCCATTTTCATTATAGGTATAATATTCCAACAAAACTGGCAAAAGATTTTTAGCCGTATGCATTATTGCGACTATATTTGATTACCATAAAAACCGTTCTAGTCAGTTAATCTTCAAAGATAGACATATACTGTTGCGGACATTGTTTTAGTTTGTTTAAAGAAGAATAATTCTTTTATACATATTTTTTCGTAATCTTTAACCGCTTTCATAGCACACGCAACGGTGTATCTTTTCCGTTTTTCCCACATTTTCCATTATTCCTTCGTTCCTATTAGTCGCAGCCTGATGGTTTTGTACAGAAGCTCCAATAGCTGTATTTACCTCTACTCCAAATACAACAGCGTCCCGCTGGTCAGCAACCCTGGAGATAGCAGCTTCCACCTCTGTCGTGCTTACATTTTCACCGCGCCATCTGAACGTGTCGCCCGTTCGGTCACGGAAGTATAAATAACCGAGCTCGTCAGATATTAAAATGTCACCTAAAATATAAACATTAATTAACTAAGACAACGTAAATAATGTCAAGATTTGGCTAATAGAATAAAGAATAGAATAGTAAATGTTTAATCAGACACAACAACATTTACAACTGAATAACATACTATAAAAACAGTTACAAATATAATATTAGGTGTTAACTAAATACAGATACAATATAATAATATAGTTGCCTCTGAAAAGAGTGTCCACTCAGCTAGTACGCTGGGACTAATGTCCCAACACTGATAATCTGTGGCCCCTTCAGAGGCCGAACTGAATACATAATGTTTTAACTTAAAGGATATGCCAAATATATATTTCACAATATGTATACATATATTTGGAGGTTATATATTTAACACGTTTATGATATAAACAGGGCAAATGATGGATAGACTACTACCAACAACTATTGCTTCTGTAGATGAAAAAATTTAAATCGTTTTGCAACCTCTAAATTCACTTTTAATATAGTAGTCAGCTGACTGAAAACGAACTATTTACATTAAAAACACACCTGATATAAATGCAGAGTCACCACGGCTAAATACATCCCTGACTATCTTCTTCTCTGAATCTTCTTTACTGACATAACCCAGGAAGGCCCTTGCTGGGTTATCGGGTTTTATTTTGCCAATAAATACACCGGGTTCGTGGGCCTTTGCTAGCTACAATTAAAATGGGGTTTAGAGAATACACAATAAGTGTCGTTTGATCTCGGTGTATGACTTAAAATAATGTGTGTGTAAAGAGTAAAATTAATTCTTACTTGACAGAGTCCCTTTGAATTTCTGATAGGTTCTCCTGTGTCTTCGTCTACTTTTATAATAGCGATAGGATAAACAGCCGGAACAATTCGTGAAACGAAACCGATGGCACCTGGCTTGTTGTCAATATTTACTAAAAGGGCAATAATATGTCGATTAGTACGTACTTTAACTATCAATATAATATTTTTATGTATAAGAGAATAAATCTTACAAATATTAGCGTTTCCTTCCGTTGCACCGTAGAACTCAACGACTTTCTTTATTCCAAATCGCTTAATGAATTCGTTCCAAACCTAAAACATAAAATTAAAACACTATGTTATGTAATAATATAGGAGAGTGTTAATTCAATGTGACAAATTATAAATTATTAAATAAAGACACTTGTTACAAATATAACCGCCTGCTATAAAAGTGAAGCAATATTTGTGATTTTCATATTTTAAAAATCAAATTACCGTTGGTCTCATTCCATTTCCATAGACAGTGCGAACTTTGTGTTGTCTATCGGTAGCTGCCGTTGGTGTTGCCAGTATATAGCGACACATTTCGCCTATGTAGTGGGCAGCCTGTGACAAAAATGACTTATGAAAAATGTATTTTTTAATTAAAAATAAAATTTCCGATCACAAAGTTTTTTTATATACATATATATTGAGGTAGTAAAACTTACAGTAGCCTTAAATTTTATACAGTCAGGGAAATACGCAGTTGCTGAGAACTTAATCCTTAAAGCGACAGTGCATCCAAAAATAAACGCCTGACCAACACTGATCACTCCACCAGCCGAGTGATATAACGGCATAGGACAATAGATGACATCGTTCTTGTTAAGACTACCAAGGAAGTGGACACCAGATGCCATAAAACACATTCTGAAATAAAAATATGTATTACGATTTTAACTTATCAAATAAATCAGAATCAATAATTATATGTGGTACCTGTTTATTTTTGGCAAAACAATTATATTGTTTTATCTTATACTGACGTAATGTATACAGATTACATTATAGAGATCGAAGTCCGTTAACAAAAATTACTCTAAGTGGAATTATTTAAAAAAACGATGATTTTTCTTTCAAATAAGTATTATATTTTAATTACCGATATGATTGACTATGAAGTATTGGCCATCTCCGTGGTAAAAAGTATTGCGTTAAGCGCGAGAGGTTCTTTGTTTGAATCCCGGGAAGCCTAACTTTTGAGTGAAATACACAAACAAAACAAAATCTGTGCCTAATTCTAATTAGCCTAAATCTAAAAGCTTACCTAGATGATGAGATAACAGCAGCCTTTGGCAATCCAGTTGTGCCAGATGTGTAAATGTAAAGCAATCTGCCGTTAAAACCCTCGCTTTCAGCCTTAGCCCATGGGGCGGGCGCTGTTGTCTCTAGTAAGTGGGTAAAATCAGTCGGCGACTCAGCCACTTTCACACTGTCACTAGATGTATTTAATGGTCGACGGGTAAATTTGAAGAGCCGCAGCGATGGACTTAGATCTTTTCTGACTTCGTCCATAGCTGAAATTGATGACAACTGAATTGAGATACCGAGTATAAACTTTTTAATGGACTAGTTAAATATTTGTCGATTGACTCTTAAGTACTTAGATAATTAAATAAAGCCCTTTAACGGTTTTAATATAATAGTTAAAGTTTGTTTGTAAAGTTTTTACTACGACATTAGAGATACCCTCGGTCTTTACTTACCCCGTTACCACGGCTGCTGCAAAGCATCCGAAACGAATATATTTCGCAATTTAAACCGTTAAAGTGTTTTATTTGAATATGTTCTAAGGTTTGTTTACTATATGTTCGGTCATAATAATATTTTTGTTTGTAGACGTAAAAACCAGAATGCATAAAGAAAAGTTATAATGTCTCTAAAGAATTTTATTCTGTGGGAGTGTTAGACTAATAATTAATCGGCCACAGACAGCAATAAAATAATTAGATTAAGCTTAAAAGGTGCCTGTGAAAGTACGTGTGAAATCCCACGATAACATATAATAAACCATAAGCCATTATAAAATATAAGAAACCATATTCTCACCAGTTTCAAACTCGCTTCCATAAATAAGCACATCGCACTTGGCTACGTTGATGGAATGTAACAAAGTGTTGCCAGTTTGATTAGTGTTGATGAGTGGCGAAATTCCGCCAACCCGTGCGATACCAAGCCAAATTGAGGGCATTTCTGGGTAATTGCTGGCCATGACACCAACTGTGTCACCCTTTTTAACTCCTTGAGCTTTTAGAACCGCAGAGACTCGAAGACTAAAATCTTCTACCTGTAATCACCACATTCAATCATATCAAGGCATCTGTACCATGACGAGCTCTTGGGTTCAAGTTTGATTGCTCAACATTACGATTGCTTAACCTATGTACAATCGGATGCAAAATATGTTATACAATTTTTAACTTTAAGAATTAGCTTATTTCGTTATGTATACTAATTGCTCGTATTAAACATTTAATGATTACATTGGGTGAATTTCTCTATTTTGAGAGAAGGATATATTTCAACGTTGGTAACTTCAGTGTTTTAATGTTTTTCGCAGACTTCGTCTTTGATTATTATTATTATATAATGTAATGTCAGGCAGATAACATAATTTGGAATTTTGTAAACGAGTTTATTATATACATTCCTGTCGACAACTTGCATTTGTAAAAGATTACGCTCTTTCCTTAAATAATAAAGGTGTCAATTATTAAATAGATTTTTTAATATTAACAATTTTTCACTCGACTGTACCATTTGGTTGTGATATTAACATCAACCGTAAAATTTTATTTCAATGACGTCATGAAATATTGTAATACCTGTTTGAATGTCCACGTTTCGTCTTCGAATAAAAAGCACGGTTTGTTTGGATGTCGTTTCACGTTCTCGTGGAATATGTCCGGCATAGTCATGTCCCGTTTTGAGAAATTGTTTGTCAGCCTCAGTATCTTTACATAGCAATACAACGCTCTGAAACAAATACAGTGTAATAACTATACTACAAGCCTTTGAAGTTAACAGTAAATGTTTAAGAAAATCATGAATAAAAGAAAAACAGAACCTAACAGTTATTGTAGTTATAGAAACCACTAACAACTTGAATGAAAAAAAATGAAATTTTAAAGGCCTAGTAAACTACACTATAATTACAGACAGGGTAATAAAACATTTATATACATCTTGGAAAATAAATTGACTAAGTATACTGGTGGTACTATAAATACATTTAAACGCCGTTTTGTTTACTAAAAGTATTTACAAGTCTGTGAATTCTGTTCTTATATTATGTACTTTAAGAATTTCACATATAAACACATTCCGGATGTAAACTCGTACTAAATAAAACAACGTTAACTTTTCGATGGATAAAGAGAACATTTAAATTTTCATACACAAATTTGTTTGTATGTTTGTAAAATCTTTTTGACATACTTTATATCTCTGGGCGCAGTCTTCACAACGATGTACAGGAACCGATAGAAGTATAGGAGCACATAAATCGGAACCAGCACTGCAAGAACAATGAGACTGGTCTGCCAGTCCACGAAGATAAATGTCACAGCGACTGCTGCTACCAACACAGCAAGAGCGACCACCATTATGAAGATCTTCCCCCAAGGGACGCTTGAGCCCTTTTTCCCGCGGTTTCCTTTTTCGATATCCCTTTGAGTGTAGGGTATCTGGAATGCAGCAGGTTAATGATTCAACCAGTATTGTTATTATTGCAATCGGCGTCTATCAATTTGATAAGATAAGGTACTTTCAAATACATTCATAGAGTTTGTTGAACGCGAACATACGTAGGTTCCCTTCAACTTTTAAAATGTAAGTTGTCATTTAGTAAGGTATTTTATGCCATACTAACTCAGTTATATACTTAACAAAGTATTAAAACCGCTTAGGCGGTTTGGTTACCATAGATGTCAAAAGTCAATAGTTCGTTTCTTGTTGTAGTACAATTTTTTTTATTATTTGTACATACTGACTAACAATGAAGTACATACTTTTTAAATCCTAATGAACGATAAATGTAATTAACGATAATTTTACGATGATAACATATGTTTTTTGCAAATTTGATTATAGTCTTTCTTGTCCAGTATTTGTTGCAAACACTTTCTCAATTATTAAAAATGGCGTATGCTAATTCTTATTAATGCTTCTACCTACTAACGTATGTATTGCTGTAATAACTCCTTAATTTCATAGTATCATACACTTTCGTCATCTTATACTTTCCATTGCATGGAGCCACAACTTTCAATATTGCATTTTATGCCTAATATTCCTGGCTCCTTATAATTCTAAGAAGGTATCAACCCAATATTTGATCAATATTTTTGTCACTTCAGTAAGCGTTTTTTTTCCTTGTATGAGGAAAATATCATTCAAGTAGTAAAATACCTTTTGTAGGTTTGTAAATGTATAAATTATCTCATAACTGGTTTTATTTTTGATTTATGTTTGAAAATCGTGACTTTTAAGGGTTCAAATATTAGCGGTAAATACGACATTTTTTCCTTGAAGAGTTCTTGAAAATAACAAGCAAATATACAAGTAGAAAGAGCTCATTTGTATAATTATTTATGTGTCTTATTTAAATCACAATTGAAACAAAATATCTAGTATCTAAATTTAAATGAATTGATAGATACTGAGATAGACTAAACACAAGAGTCATCGTGTACGAGTAAAATGTGCCCGATAAATGAGTTACACGTACATTAGTCATTTTTCTTAAATACTTTTTCAAATAAATAAGCCGCTATACAAATTAACGTTTCAAATATATAATATTTTTAAGAACTTTTAATACACTCTCTCCTTATTATAATATCATAACAGATATATATATTTATGCACGTTTGACACCAAATTGCGTTCTTGCATACTCGCTGCGCCAGCGCAGTTTATAAGTATTTTAACAGTATTACCAAATTATATATTGTCTTAATTTAGATTAATTACAATTGGATATTTACTTACATCTAATTTATTTTTTTATCAGTCTTGTTCATGTTACTGTCAACTTCGGTTCCGTTGCTCGTCATCTTGCCGGCTTACGTTTCGGCAAATGGCCAAAGCTTTCTATGTTATGTTTTCTTATTCACACATTTTGTAGTCTGCTAAACAACGTGAATCTATTACTGTTGCGATGGTTTATGCTGAAATGTACATATCGTAGTTATGTAATTATAGTTATTAATTCAGTATCGTAATCTACAATTAATTACAATATTATCTTATTGATATAAAGAGATTAGTAAATATGTTAGTAGATTAAGATTATGGGAGAATTAATTATTAAAATTTTATCGCAACTAATCTATTTTTTTCTAAACGCAAACTACAAACATCTCGAGTAAAAAAGATATTTTATTAACTTTTCCGAGATGGGAATTAATGATTACAAAGTTCTTGTTGTTGTTTTATTTTTAAAAAATCAGACCCAAGTACTGTAAGTACAATGGACTATAATAAATGAAAGCTAAGAAAAACTGCTGTATGTGTTATGTATTTTTGTTAACTCAAATAATAACCCCCGAGACCACGACTCCTGCTAAACATCAGCTCGTTGTTAAGACATGTTGTGATACATAATCCAATCATTAATTCACTTATTAAACCGTTAAAAGTGTCATTAAAAGTTTAGATAGTAACACTTACAAACGCTACTGATATATACCACTTAATTATATTGTATTGGACAGAATTGTAGAAATGATGTGGAATGGCCATTAACTAAATCGAAAAGCGATTTGCGTGTTAGAGGACGTTCAAAAGAAAGTAAAAGTGAACGAACTTTCGTAATATCATGCGGTTGCGAGTGAAACCAGTGAAACCGAATCCAAAGCACTATGCGAAAGCTATCAATATCAAATCTATAACTGTGTTCATACTTAGAGAATTCTTAGATCTAAATATAAGTGCGAAAAAACATATCAAACTTTTCAACATTCGAAAATATCTATTTTGAAATGTTATTATAGTTCCAACAGATATTTATGGCTTGTCAAGTTCATTTCAATGGAGTAGTGGAGGAAAGACTTTTACTTTCCGAAATCACGTATTCTGATCTGCTTTATATCATCAGTCTGAGGGCTAGAGCATTCTTTGTTAATGAAGAAGACTCTTAGAATTTTGAGTAATACGTAAATATAATTGTGACTCTTGCAAGGAAGCCCAATTTTGAGTGTTGTTGCGACCTTAATCGAGGTACAGTCCGTAAATAATAGTTCTACTATTATAGAAGATCTAAAGATCCTCTCTATAATATAAACAGATGTATATATATATGTATATATGTTAAATTCACATACCTCTGGGCAATGCGCAAATATTGCATTCCGATAGATTCAATCTTTAAATAAAAGAAGGAAGGCTTAGTCCATTACAAAGCAAAAAAACATCGCTATTAACTAAATTACTGAAGATGACAGGATGCCGTCAAAGGTCGTTTTAGTTTGGTTTAGAGATTTGGCGTTAGCAAACACGATTAAAAGCAAATATATTCATCCATTTTTATCTGTTTAGAATTCAACTCAAATATACGTTATTTTAGTTGTGAGATAATCCTAAGAGAGATCACAAAAAGTTTTTTTTTATGATAGATAAGGACGGTAGGTGAAATACCACAATCATAACATCCGAACAAAATGCGTTGTCGGCCTATTTTGGCCTTACATATCTGAAAACTCACAGATTGAAACTTTATAAACTTGACGGCATTTTTCGTTTGTGGATGTGAATTCTGTTTGTGCTAAGTAGTTGTCAAGTAAAACTTCAAACAATCCGTATAGTTAACGTAAGAATACCTAATTACAACAATCTTACTCGTGCTGTTACAAAACAGATAAAAACGCATGCAATCAACACTTATTCATAATTTATTTTGCTTTCGTAAGCATACCTTTATAAATTATTTTTCAGACTCGCGTAGGTATACTTATATATATTTATAGGAGAAATATTATTTATTTCGCTCCGGACTAGTATTCATTGTATGCTATCTATTGCCTATAAGACAAGGGGTTAATTAAGGAGTAAAACGGACAGACGTTTCCATGGCTGTTGTAAAGCAATCTGAAGCAACTTGCAATACCTAGTTAAAATGAATCATTTAACTCAAGTATTCCCTGTAGTTTACATTTTAATTAAACATGTTAAGGGCATTAGTTAACTTATTTACAATGTATCAACGGTATGCTGTTTTGCAGGAGGAACTGAAGATGGAGAGCGTCCCTAATGACAGAGTAAAATCTGCTACTCTAGCGCCATCTGTTTCCTCGTATTTTAGGATTTAATGTTATAGTAATAGAAGGCCGTACGGCCTTGTATAGATCGCATTCAAAGGCGTTAAAAATGCTTTATTTAATAAAAAATACAAGTAATATAAGGTAAGGAAAGGTGCATAATCGATATGATAAACTTAATATATAATATCCATCGAATGCTTTTAACAACTGAATATGTCTTTATTAGGTATTTAAAGCAACTTTAAATCTTCTTCTCTATCTCTTCCGCAATGTGTTAATACTATATTTTCAGTGATAAGAACCGTATGCAGTAAGGTTCACGTCGCGTAATGTGAAAGTTTTTGAAAGTGCTGTAATATTGCTTAACTAAATACGCAATTATAAGCCGCTAAGGCCACCACGTATTCTCTTGTGTTAGATTACTGTTAATGCGAATAACTCACCGACTAATTTGTATGCATGACTATCTTTCTCTTTGACACAAACATACCTTTGTCCAGTGGAGATGTTAATTCGTGTGTCATGGACAACCTTGCGGGTGTTTGAACTTGGAATTTATAAATACGACCAAACTTAGTCAACAATTATTAAGTGACAAGTACCGCTGAGTATGTACTAAACACTTGCTTATTGTATAGCGTTAAAATGCTGTGATTATTTTTAATGATTTATTGTCTCGTCTAGACCTTTGGTCGCCTTGATCTTGCACACAGGAATACAAAGAATATTTTATTTAGCAAAAAATAAGTACGTAGTTTGTATCCTAACAAAGGAAATCCATAATGTAAAGGTCACAAAAACATAATCGGTACACATTATAATATCTATTCAACCAAACGTGTAGTAAATGATACTAGTTACGTCTAAAATAAATACTCAATTAATAATGAACTAAATAAGTTTAACGTGAAAGATATATTTAGTCCAATTATTTTTTTTTCTCTTTGACTTTTTGTTTGGTAGAGCTGATCTCTCGATCGATGTATTAAGTGTTTTGTAAGAATATATAAAATTACTAGGTGACCTGGCAAACGTTGTTTTACGGAGAGGAAAAATGATTAAATTACTAAAATGGCTATTAAAAAATAAGGGTTGATCGTAGAAGGGTAAAAATTGAGCATTGTATGTATTTTTGTATGTTGTATCATAAAAAAAAATAGAAATAAAAAATTTTGTCTAAAAAACAAATAAAAAAAATTTAGGGGGAGGTGAAAAATAGATGTTGGCCGATTCTCATAGATACCGGATAAGCACAAAAGATTTTATCAAAATCGGCCAAGCCGTTTCGGAGGAGTTCAAGTTCGAACACCGTGACACGAGAATTTTATGTATAAGATATATATTCTAACGCATACAACTCTATTAATTTAGCAAATAAAACTTATGTCTCGCTTTGTGACAAATTTTTTTGGTAACTTAAATATGTTTAAGAGAGATTAGATAATCATTATGCAATAATATTAAGGTCGTGTCTATTTGTTAGTAACCGGTTAATAGATACACTGACCTAGATAAGTACACCGAAATGTATAGATTCGTGTATCATACAAGAGAGCCTATTAACAATGCCAAAAGTACTAACTAAGGAACTAACTAATATAAATGAAACTATACTTAAAGTTTAAGGTCAGGTTTTAATCACAGCTTAACCAATATCTTGGATCCTTAAACTGGTTTTAAATAAACGAATTAAGCATCGCGTATTAAAATCTTTGATGATTTATTAACTGACCTCACTAGATCATCAATCAATTCATTTCTATGAGGCAACTGCTTTAAATTATAATAAATAATGACATTGTTGTACATATATAGCTACGATAAGTAATTAGAGTACTTCATAGAGGATAAAGGGATAATATGTTGTGACTCGCAAGTGGTTGGTGTACATTCCTACCCTTTCCTACTTCCTTCTTAATATAAAAAAATGTAAATGTAACGAGCTAGTTACTTTTTCATAGCTTAACGGCTT